GGTCCCCTGTGCTCCACCTGCTTCGGATAATTTTTACCTAGATGCCTCATGTCAGCTTTGTATTTTGAGAAAAGGTCTTTCTAAACTGGCCAGCCTGGCTCCAACTTTTGATCGTCCTGTCTGTTTCCCAGAGAGCTTCACTGGCATGTAGCAAACACTGAGGTAGCTCCCCAAGGCCAGGCGCTGTTCTAAGCACCCTACAAATATCAGATCCAGTCTCGCAAGCACTCTGTTCATCAAATCCACTGTCTCACCCCATGATGGCCTGCGAGAAGTCCCCGGTGCCAGTCACAGCTCTGAAAAAACTTTTCTCAAGGTCAAACTTGCTGGACACAGAGAAAGCTTGTTGACTGCACAACAGTCTGGTTTCTGATGTCAGGGGATGGGCAGCTAACCACCTGCTTCTGGAGGCCCTTTCTCTGCTGCCCTCCTGTGGATCAAACCTCCCTCCCTCCCACTGCTACAGTCCATTTTTGTTTGTGCATGCGTGTGTGTGTGTGTATGTGTGTGTGTGTGTGCGCGCGCACGTGCGTTTGTCTTTCTTATTGGAGACAAGGTCTCTCTATTTAGGCCAGGGTACCATTGAGCTCATGGCCATCCTCCTGCCTCAGCCTCCTGAGTGCTGAGATGACAGGGGTGGGCCACTATGCCTGGCTACTATGGGCCCTTGAACACCTAACCCAGAAGGTACGATCACCACTTAGACAACAGCCACAATCCAGGTGTTGTTTCCATTCTGAAAAAAGTGTATTTAGCTTTCCTTTCTGGGCCAGGTCATAAAAATTCTGAGAACTGATGGTCAGCATTTGTTTTTATGCGAATGAACCTGACAGCCAGCTGCAGCTCCGGCCTCCATGTCTGTGAAGTCGGGGCTCTGGATGTCACCTGGAAACTGCACCCTGACTCCCAGCCACATGGGGTGTCTCCAGCCCCTCTGTCCTTTGGAGCCTGGCAGCACAGGAAAGAAGCCTAACCCGGGGCTGGGGATTTAGCTCAGTGGCATAAGTACCTGCCTTGCAAGCAAGGCAGTCGTGAGTTCGATCCCCGGTACCGATTAAAAAACAAAACAAAACAAAACAAAAAAACAAAAAAAACCACTCACTACTGTGTCCAATAAAAGGATTTATTTAAAAAAAAAAAAAAAAAAAAAAAAAAAAAAGAAGCCTAACCCACAGTCAGCAAACGCCATGCTCAGAACTGATCCTCCGTTGTCACCCCCCAGGTGCACTGCCGGGTACGTGCTTCAGGAGGAAGAGAAACAAAAGCCAGCTTCCTCCTTTGCTCCCATGCATGGCAGACCATATTGAAACTGCAGTAACAAATACGGGCCACACCACAGCTTCATTCCGCGCCATATTCTCCACATGGGAATGTTTCATCAAAAGTTCCTTTTCAAACCGAATGCAGTATTAATAAAGCATGAAGGGGCCTGGAGATTTGGCTCAGCAGCATGAGCACCTGCCTGGCAAGCATGAAGTTGTGAGTTCAATCCCAGATACCAAAAAAAAAAAAAAAAAAAAAAAAAAACCCAAAAGCACGAAGGGTGTGGTGGCACAAGTCTATAACCCCAGTACTCAGGAGGCTGAGGTAGGAGGATTGAAAATTGAAAATCTGGGCCCAGCCTAGACAGCTTAGGCACTTAGAGAGACCCTCTCTCTAATGCGGAATCCCGGACCAGACTGCAGCAGACACGGCCCCCGAGGAACTTTAGAAGGCTGCTTTACTATGCTCTCAGGCTGACCGGAACCTCAGCTCCAAATCACTACCAGTGACTGGAGCTTTCCAATCATTTTATGTATATTTCCAAAAGGAAGTACAAATGGCAGATAACATAATGCATTCCGGTTGATTACACATCTTTGCCATTAATTGCCAGGTAGAATTAGTCTTACAACAACAGCAACTAAACGAGGTTATTATTGTACAGTGGAGAGGAAGAATCGAGCATTGTCTGAGACTGGGCAGTGGTGTCCTTGCACTGATACCTCCCTGGGACTCGGAAGCAACAGAAACATTTCTTCCTGGCCAGACTACACTTATCTCGCAGCTGGCACCTGAATGCCAGAGCTCATCAGGTTTGCAGCCTTCTGGCCATGGGAACGGGAGTGTCTGCTGCTCTCATCTTTGAGCTGTGTTAGAATATGCTTAGTTTTTTGGTAACCATTTTAGATCACCTGATATTCTATTTTTACATCATGTACTATGCCCATCCTTTTGTTCTAACCAACTGTTTTGTTTAGCCATGTTAGGTTTTATTCTCTCTAAAAAAATAATAAGAATTGTGGGAGTAAAAAAACCCAAAAAGTGTAATTGTTATTAAAAAGAGAAGAAAGGAAGGTGGTCTAAGGGATATAACTGCATGTATGTTTGAGTGTGTAGGATGAAAATCCCTATTACTGAACTTTTGTTGGATCATTGATCGGCACTGTCTGCAATCTCATTGTATGAATGTTCACTTTACATGCTTTAATTTTATAATTTGGACAACTATTTCAAAGATGACAATATGTAACCTATTAATTAGTGATATCTTACTGTATTTTTTTCCTTGAAATTCTGTATTATTTGTACTCTTTTACTGCTTTATTTTTTTTCTCTTTAAATAAAAAAAAGAATATGCTTAGTTTTGGAGATAAGTTTTAAAATTTTCTCTGCATTAAAATAGCTTGTACATCTCAGCATTGATAACATCGTAAAAAGGACTGGGGAGCTAGCTTGGTGGTATGGCCCTGGGTTTAATTCTCAGTATTGTACCAAAAAACAACACAAAACTGCACCTCATTATCTAAGACTTAAAGTATGGTACTGAGCATTTAGTTTAACATGGTGAAAACACAAATAGAGAAATGGAGACGGGGCTGGGGATTTAGCTCAGTGGCGTAAGCACCTGCCTGGTAAGCACGAGGTTATGATTTCAACCCCCAGTAGCAAAACAAACAAAAAAACAAACCAAGAACAAATATATATATATATGAAAAATGGGGACATCGAGGCATGGAGTTTCCTCCCTCCACTCAGCCAAGCCCCTTATTCAATGCTATTGAGGAAACCCCGCACGAATCCTCCAGCTCCCTAACCCCACACTGACTTGAAAATGACTTTGAGGGTCACAGCTGGACACAGCTTATTGCCCCGCCACCTGCTGGCTATGGACAGCACCTCTGCTGTGAGGGTTGTGTGGTATTGGTGTCTCTTGGGGACCTAAAGGCCATTTCTGCTGAAAATGCTGATTCTCTCCGGGCGCTGCAGAGATCCTACAGGTGAAGGAGTAGGATGGAGGGGTGGCGTCTCTGTCTCCACATGTGCCCTAATAAAGGGAGCAAAAAGTGGGGGTCCCCAGAGTCTGGTTCACCCCAGGAAACAGAACCCCCCCCTTTGCAGTCCATCCCTGTCCAGCAGGCACCTGGACTAAGAAGCCGCGTGAGCAGCCAAGATCCTGTCCTTTCCCTGCCCCTGGTAAAGCTCCTGCCATTACTCTGCTCTTGGGTCCCAGCTTTACCAGAATCTCGCCTCTTCTTAGTTACAAAACCTTTTAGAAATTTTTTTTTGTTAATTTGGTTGAGACAGAGTCCACCGTGTAGTCCAGGCTGGGTTTGAACTATGTAGCCCAGGTTGGCCACGAACTCATGCCAATTCACCTGCCTCAGCCTTTTGAGTGCTGGGATCATAGATGTGTGCTACCATGCCCAGTTTATATTCCTTCCTAAGGATGTAGAGCGTGGTGCTCAGCCTGGCTACCAGCCCCCCGCCCTCCCCGTCTTTTTGTGTAGTTCAGGTTGCTTTGGAACCCAAGAGATCTTTCTGCTTCAGCCTCCAAGTGCTGGGATTATGAGCATGTTACTATGACTGGCTAGCAAACTGATTCTTCCAGAGCTTTAAAGCAGTACTCACCTTCCAAGGCCAGCTCACCAACTCCTTGTTCTGTGAAGCTTTCCAGGCCCTCTCCGTGTTCCCTAGGTCACAGTGGTCCCAGCAGCTTGTGGCACACGGCTTCCCACAGCCTGTGTTTCTACCATCTCAGCTGCTCAGGAAGCAGGCCAAGGTGAAAACTGAATGCAGGGCAATTTTTAGGGATCCATAGTGGCGGGAGTGGGCCTGCTGGGCACTCAGGAGACAGGGCAAACAGACTAAGAAGCCTCAGCCAATGCAGGGCCCTCTGGAGCAGACCTGCCCCCAGTGGAGGAAACAGGGTCCTGGCGCTGGACACACAGGAAGGGTGCAGCTCAGTAGGGCACATCTGCATGTGCCCATTGCCCCCAGCCCCTGGGGACTCCAGCCTTCATTCTTGTTGGTGTCGGTGCCTCCCAAGGGTGACCCACAATTTCAAGCAGTGCAGGATGATGGGACGCGTTTCAAGCCGAGTACTTGGGGTATTCGTGCCAATGCATCGTTTACCATAATAAGCCAGAGTCCCTATGTTTTTTTTTTTTTAATCGGTACTGGGGATTGAACTCATGACCGCCTGCTTGCAAGGCAAGTGCTTATGCCGCTGAGCTAAATCCCCAGCCCCAGTCCCTATGTTTTCTAAAGCACCAATGTAGGTGCCACCTTTGCGCAGGAGCTACACAAGTCCACGTGCTGCCGAGGCAAGTGCCCTTCACACGATTCCCCAGCACAGCAGGCCCCACAAGTAATCCCACCCTAGTACAATCCCTGTGGAGAGAACAAGGCCTCTGATTCGAACTGCAAGTGGAGCCCCCATGTGAAAGTCTGAAGGTGCTTGGGCTCTCAGAAGGTGGGACCTGGACCACACTGGGTCCCTCCCTGCACTGATGCCCAGGCTCTGCCCTGGCCAGTGGGGCTCCCCAGATTGGGCGGGGGTGGGGAGCCTTCTGCAGGGTGAGGGCAGCTCCCCTCCTCAGCAGACAGGACAGTCAAGGAGAAAAGGTACAGCCTTAAACCCAAGGGCGCAGATTTAGCTCAGTGGTGTTATGCAACTGCAGGCAAAGCTTCGTGAGTTCAATCCCCAGTAACAAAACAACTCATTAACAACTTCCTACTTTTGTCTTTTTCAAGCAAATGAATACTTTTATTAACATGGTTAAGTTTGTCTTTTTAAACATGGTAGGGTTTTGACCTCAAATACTCATCAGGCCTGCTACTCAAATTAACTGACTGCTGGATAACACAGGAATTGTGAAGATGCGGCCTGGCTGACCCTCGGAGCCAGCCCCATGCTTTTTTCCTGCAGCCCCTCAAAGACCTTTGCAAATAGCTTCTGTTGATGCCCAGAATCCCCCCCAGTACTTTGACTTGTCCAGAAGGTCAGGACCTCTTCTCCTAGGCTAGCTTCCATGGAACCAGCGCTGGGTCAGGTTGTCCAAACAAACTCTCCAGACAGGTCACATCAGATGGTGCAGCACACAGAATTTAAATTTGTGAACAAAATACGTCTCTCCTCCTTTGGTCTCACACAGAAATGAAAGTCCCCAGTACAAACACCACCCCCCACTTCTCCTTCAGGTCCGCCACTCCTCTCCACTCAGGCCCGTGGGTGTACCCAGCTCAAGTCTGGTCCCTTCCTAGGCAGCTGCTTCGAAGAGTAGTCTTGAGAAAGAGCGAAGCCCCTCGACTCCGGAGCTGCGCTGCACCAACGGCCTCTGAGACTCACGCATGACAGACCCAAAGTTCCAGGGAGCTCTCAAGTCACACGAGAAGGCAAAGCATCTCAAAAATTTAGAACAACCGAAGCCCAGAAACCAATGTGACTGCCGCAAGAGCTTACAATCTAGGTCCTAATTCTGTATGTGAGAGCGTTTCCAAACAAAAGTAACTTCCCCAAACAAAAACATCTAACTGTCAAAACTCAAATTGAGGTCATCAGCCACAGATCATAGCAGAAACGTAGTGTAAGTGAGGACAGAGTGGAGACAGAGGAAAAGGGAAAACAAAAGGCTCTCTGGTTTCAGCTTCTCCAGGGCGTCAGCCAATCTCCATCGCTTGACCAGAATCCATTGGCTGGAAACCTACCGGGGGAGAGAGAGCTGTTAGCAGGGATCAGGCCCCGCGGGGAAACAACCCACCCGACCGGTAGAAGGCCGCCCCTTCTAGGGGTATCTGGCTCATTTCCATCTTCCAGAAGAATCTGGGATCTTCCAAAGACCTCCCATGACAATTCTCTTTCCATACCCCCCACGCTCCCACCGTAATGCTACACCTTCTGGTTTTGCTCCATCGGTAACATTTAGGTTTACTGTTATTATTTGCTTTTTTTCTGACAGGGATCCAGTTCGTGGCCCAGGCTGGCCTACAACTCGTAGGGATCCTCCAGCCTCAGCCTCCCGAGTACTGGGATGTCGGAGTGCACCTCCGCACGCGTTTATGATTTTTTTTTTTGCACCGGGGATCCAACTCACGACCTCACGCTTGCCAGGCAGGCGCTAATGCCGCTGAGCTAAATCCCCGGCCAAGTTTATGATCCTATAATGAATCCCACTGGCTGCGCCCTTGGGTTACAACCAAACGCGTGCCCAGTCAAAACATGACTCTAATTTTTCAAAACTGCCAACGTGAAACACCATTTCGGTGGCGGGTCGCCTCCCGGGTGAAAAGCTGAGCGCCTTCTCTTCCTCCCTCCCCACCCCAGCGCGTCCTGACTTTCGTGTTTCTGAGCAGGGCCTGGACTCCGCGGCGACCCTCCCGCCTCAGCCTCCCCGGCCACGTGCGCCCCTCCTTCCGGGTGCCGTGAGCCGCCCGCCCGCCCTGCCCTGCCCTGCCCTTCCGGCCGCACTTACCGCCGGCTCCCTCACGACGACTCGCCCTTCTCTATCCGCCGTACCAGCTGCACCAGCATCTCGGCCATCTTCGCCATCTCTTGGGCCTTCTCCTCGGCCTTGTCGCCCCGCGGCGCCGGCCGGGCCTGCGCGCCGTCGGCCGCGCTCTGCAGGTGGTTGAGCGCGCTCTCCTCCGAGGCCTCCACTTGCGTCTTGATCTGGATGAGCAGATTGTCCATCTCCCACAGCTTGCCGCGCTCGCGCGCCTGCGCCCGCCCGCGCTCGCGCGTCAGCGCCGCGATGTCCTCGCGCATCTCGTGGATGACGGGCAGCAGGAACTGCTCGAAGTCCTCCTCGGGCTCCAGCACCTCCACCTCCTCGGGCTCCGCCAGCTCCACGGCGTCCAGGGGCCGCATCGCGCCGCCGCTTCCGACGTCTGCGGGGGCAGGACGGACGCTCGCCGCGCTCAGCCACAGGGCCCCGCGACGGCCTCAGCGGACTTGCGCGCTCCTCCCAACTTTTTTCCGAAGAGAACAGCGCGGGAGGGCGACTGGCGAGCAGCAAAGCGCCGAACAAAATGGTGTCCTGGGCGTCAAGCAGCGTTCTGCGCGTTGCAGCCGCTTTTACGACTCGGTTTGGCTTCGCTTTACGGTCGCGTTGCCAGGCGCTGGCGCGCGCACACTTAAAGGAGCGCGGTGGGCCGTGCCCTGGGGCTGCGCAAGCGCAAACGAGGCGGTGGGCGGTGCTGCGGGAGCGCGCTCTGTCCGCGCCCGTTCCTGTAGTTGTGCATAGGGTGCGGGTGGCTGCTCTGCTGCTGCCCTCGTTCTGGGTTTCCGTGGACGAAGCTCACGTTTTCAGGGGTCTCCTGTCCTGCAAGAGAGGACTTAGGGAACACCGGGACAGAGGCCTCGAGCTCCCGCCGCGGCCCCTCCCTCGGCAGCCCGCCCCTCGTGGCCTTGGCGGGCTGCAGTCAGCTGTGTCCGGGCTCTGTTTTTGCACCCGGCCCGGCTCCCGCGTTTCTAGGTATAGGCCCGAGGCCGGGGTACAGTTCGGCTGCACAGCGCCTGCCTGCCAACTGCGAGTTCCCCAGTTCGATTCCCAGTACCAAAAATAAATGAATGAATTTTTAAAAATTAGGGTTTAGGTGCAAGGCCGTGTCGGGTGCCTCCGGAGGACCCCGTAGGCTCCGAGCTCAGTTGGGTGTTGGGAGGAACTGTCCTCAGCAGTCTTCAGGACGATGGCTTCCTCTCCCCTCCCCCTCTGCGCTCTTTCCTTTTCCTATCCCCTCTTCCCGGCTATGCAAGGACTCCAGCTGAGGCTTCCCCAGCGCCCTGCACCCCAGCCCTGTGACCTGCTTCTTTGCATCCTTCTAGGGATTGAGGGCGCTGGTGGGACTGATTCAGCTCTGCGTCCCTTTATGGAACTGAGTAAGTTTGTTTTCACATCCACTCAGCACAAAAATTACTTTATTTTTTGCCAGACGGGCACTGTACCACTGAGCCACATCCCTGGTCCTCAACACAGAACTTTAAGGAAAAATGTTAAGTTTCTGTTAACCCAGTCACTAACTAGCCATAAATATTTCAGAATCTAGATTACAAAGTTGTTTTCCAGTTAGTGGGGTATAAGTCACAGATTTGGATATGGCAGATTTAAGGATTGAAAGAAATAATAGCCAAATACCCACAAAAAAGATAAGTCATGAGAATGCTTTGTAACCAACGAGCAGGAACATATGTAAAGCACAAGCATGTCCTTCCCCACTATACAGCTAAATCCTTGGCGCGCGCGCGCGCGTGTGTGTGTGTGTGTGTGTGTGTGTGTGTGTGTGTGTGTGTGAGAGAGAGAGAGAGAGAGAGAGAGAGAGAGAAACAGACAGACAGACACAGAGAAGGAGAGAGAGTTGAGACACGATCTCTCTCCATAGCCCAGGCTGGCCTTGAACTCAGTGATCCTACCTTGGCCTCTGGAGTGCTGGGTCACAGGCCTGCACGCCTGCACTGCTCCCAGCCGTTTGTACATTTTTGATTTTGACACATGGTTGCTAAACTGAACAGGCTGGGCTCTGAATTGTCATTTTCTGCCTCAGCATCCTGCAGCTGGGGTTATTGGCATGTAGTAAGGTTCTTCACTAGTGCATGTCTCTTATTTAGGTCTTTCCAGATTCTATGTATTTTGGTTGTTGTTAAGAACGAAAAGACATTTGGGCTTTCCTGGTCCATCAGATACAACCCCCTCATAATTTTCTTGCATGGATAAAAATAAATGGCTAGAACAGCAGTGAGATACCAGTACACGCCTGTTCACACATTCAGTGTACACAGCACAGACCCAGTGAGGAAGAGACGCAGTAGAGGCTCCCACTCCTCTGGAGGGGGAAAGTTAAACTGCACAGCCTCTGTGGAAGACAGATCATTCCTTATAAAACTGGACAGACTCCTAATGTGACCCAGTGGAATGAGTTTTAGCAACACCAGAAGTTAGGCACAGAATATATTTATTGAGAGAAGGAAAGCTTATATCTAAGAGAGACAAGGGGTCCCCATTGGTTTGCCAAAGACTGTCTTTTCTAGGGACTTTTTTTTTTTTTTAAACTGGTACCAGGAATTGAACTTGATAGAACTGTGGGGGACTGGCGGCGGCTGAAAAGATAAGAGTGAAATATAAATGACCTTTATTTTGAGAATGCGGGGAAAGACACCCCCGACCGCCTGGGGCGCGGCATCTCCCCCTGGGGTTGGCAATCTCTCCGTGGAACACGTGGAATGGAGGCATATAAGTAGCCTAGGTTTGGGGTGGAACCTAAAGGGGCATCAGGGATGCACAGGTAGCCCTTTGGTCTTGGTTTGGCACCATAGGTAAATTCCTAGGGGTGGGGGAGATGCAGCTTCTTGGTTCTGCCTGAGGCTTTACCAGCTACAGTGTCCTGTCTGGGCCAAAACTCTTTCATATACTGTCTTATGGTTATTATTATGAAAAGGGGCAAATATTTCTCTCTTTAACTGCTTCCTGCTGGAAGAGGGCGATGTACTGGGGTCGAGGGGAGTCAACAGGATGACAGTTGATTCCCAAGTAGAAGCTGGTGCCAGGTGTTTTAGTCAGGACAGCTTCACTGGTGAATGTATGTATGTTAGACTGGAAAAACAAAGAGATAAGGTGTTATGAGGAGGCATGGCATTGTCATATTTAAGGACCCAGGTGAGGTAGAAGGAAAGGTGCCTTTGATTTAGACATGTCATTATAGACTATGTTGAGGTAGAAACATTTCCACGGTAAGGTAAAATTAAATGACAATTAAATGTGGGGTTAGGAGGAGTGAAGTTATGAGAGGTGATTACTCTCCCATCTGAAAGCATAAAAGTTAAAAGGGTAGTTGGGTAAAACTTGTCTCTGGTATGGATGATGTTGGAGTCTTTAGGAAATACTGTTAAGAGTCCTGCTGTAAAAAGAATAAGAAATTAGAAACCAAATTGGATAACAAAACATGACAGCCTGAGAGTCGTAGCTATGAGGCCTTGGTAAGGCAGAGAGTAGGCAACAGGATGGTTAGATCTAGGGCCTGAGTGATGCAAAACCAGAATGGCAGTCTAGCAACTTTGATCACTGTTGAGGTTGCCAAGAATATCAGGTATGGGTCGCTGTAACCTGGTTGTAGTACGTGGAATGATTTTCTGTAACAGAACTTTAGCAAGTATATCAGCAATTTCCCTGGTTGTGTGGAAGGCTTTTATGTATCCTGAAAAAGTATAAACAAAGTGAGAAGGCAAAATTTATCTGCCAGTCTTGACCAGAGTTGCCTGAGAAATTGGTGAATAAGAAAAGAAGGGGGTGGTCTTATATCACTGAGGAGAGGTATACTAGCGATAACAGGTGTAAGCTGTTGAGGCCTCAGTGTGTCTAAGTCAATCTGTATAAACACAAGGAAATGAAAAGCATTTTATTTTATTTTTTTGTCTTTTTCGTTTTTATCGGTACCAGAGATCGAACTCACGATTGCCTGCTTGCAAGGCAGGTGCTTATGCCGCTGAACTACATCCCCAGCCCCTAAAAAGCATTTTAAGATTTAGGACTGGGACCTGCATGAAATAGGCCCTGTTTGTAAATGGCATAGGTTGTCTTTTAATACCTGCTAGAGATTTGAGGAATTAATATAGTGGCCTGAAAACTCAGGAAGAACTCTGTACATATGGCCTCTATGTCCACAAGTATAGAGAATGTCTTACCTGAGACTTTTAGTGGGACTTGGACGCTGAGACGGACACCCATAAAGGGGGCTGTTGTTGGCCCTGAGCCCCGTCAGTCTTCAGCAGCAAGTTTAAGCAGATCTGTCGGTGATGAATCTGGCAGTGTTGGCATTTGCTGTGAGGGCTGGAAGTTAGGATGACTTACCCTCTCTCTGGTGGCTAGGACAGTCCAGTAGCCCTGGGGTAAGGTCTCAAAGAACGCCAGGATGGGGCACTCTCTTGCCCAATGTCTTCTGCTGCATTTGAGGCATGGTCCATGGGGGGCCCAGGCAGCTCCACCTTGTGTCGATTTACCTGTCTCAGAACTCCAAGTGTCACAAGTGTTATGGTTATCTCTGTTGTTGAAAACACGAAAAACCATATTAAGGTCTCTATGAGGTTGGAAGGTCAAGTTTGCCTTTTTGTTTGGAATTTGGACTACAGTAGAAAGTATCTGTAGAATTAAGTAAGTATGTGGGAGTCAAATATAATCAACAGGGTATTTTAAATTTTAGTAATGACTTCACATAAGGAGGACAGGTCCAGAGAATTTTAGGAACTGACATGTTATTTATGTCATATATATGAGTATCTTTGTTATTAAAATGTCTAATGCCATCTGCATCTGATTTTTAGAGGATGGCCTGTTTAATTAATTTTTTACTGTTTTATTTATGAGAGAAATCAGCTATGGTGTTATTTAATATCAGTTGAATATAGTTAATTATGGCTCAGTGGAGGGCTGAGCCAGGGCAGGCAGATAGGCTGGGAAAAGGTTTAAGTTTAGCTTCTGAGTTTAGCTTCTGTCGCAGTGCTGGTTTTGCTGTTTTGCATATATTATATAACCCTTGTTTTGGAAAAGAGCTAGTAGTTCCCAGCAAAACGAATTTATAATTATTTTTAATTATAGTTGTTAAACATCTCTAAGTGTATATGTGGATCTAAAAGAAAACATTTGTCATGGCTGGAACACAAAAAAAGCAGCAGAAACAATCTGAACTTTATATCTGAAAACACGAACAGCAGATCACAATTGTCTGCTGCACCGGTCTGTGCGCTGGCAGACAGAGTGCACCTGCAGACAGAGCTGTACCCGTGCTTGGGGGTGGGGGCTGGGATCTCTCTGGCACACAGCGCACAGGTGGAACATGCAGAGTGGGTGGGGTGCTTAGGGCAGGCGGGGCGCCAATGTTGGGGTGGCGCATGTAGAGTGAAGGTGGGGCGAGCGCCAGGACGTAGCACGTGGGGTGGGCTAGGACTAGGCCCCAGAAACGTGCAAGGTGGAGGTGGTGCTGGTGTCGGCAGTGGCACATGGGGGGCGGAGCTGGGTGGCAGATTTGGGACGTGGCTTGAAGCTGGGACCTTACACGCTGGTGGACTGACGGGGAGTTGAGCCGCTACATGGAGCTGAAACTGCTCGCGGGGTGTGCAGATTAGGGTGCAGCATTAAAGCCAACCCGCGTGGACCTGGAGCACGGCATGAGAGCCAAGATACTACGCACGAGTTGGGGGGCGGTGTGAAAGCCTAAAGCAATAGTATCTCCCAACACTGTTTGGGCTGGAACGTGTTTGAGAGGTTAAAGTAGCCACCCATATCTTTCAACACTGTTTGGGCTCATTTCCTATCTCGGAGGGGAATGGGATGGCACACACAGCGGGGGGAGAGGGGAGGAGGCGGCAAGGAAACAATAGGGACAGGGATGCTGGCGGGAAAGGACACATGCTCAAAACAAAGGCTTAAAGATAGAGAGATTTGTAAACTTGTCATAGGTGTGAAAAGCCATAGATAGGTGTGGTTTTCTGGGGGAGGGACAGGAAGTGGTCCCCAAGATAAAATCTGGTGTGAGGTCTAGCCCACGGAGTTATAGCCAGATGAGGCAACAGACTGTGGTCTGCTAAGAGTAAGTTGTCACTCTTTACTTATAGACTGATCGGTATATTATATGGTTCCAAAATTCATAATAATTGGCCGTCACCAATATATGAGTGGATTTCTCATGGGTTTAATAACAACTCTGCCCGTGAGAACTTAAAAAGCTCTGAAGGACATGAGAGTCTTTCAGTGTGGACATAGGCTGGACCAGGAAGACTCTGCCTTGGGCTATCTGAACCCAAAGGATGTGAGAGTCTCCGAGTGTGGACACAGATTGGCCAAGAAAGATGCTGTCTTGGGCTATCTAAGGACATGAGACCATCACTTGGGAACCCATGGAAAGGGGGAGAAAACCCCCCTGGGGCCTGGCCCAGCGGCAATCTCCAGGGGGTTGCTCACCTGGGGTAAATTGGGTTGGTGTTGTTTGCAAACCGGCAGCAACAAGTTTACAGCTCCCGAGTGTAGAAGTGAGGAATTAATGCAGGATGCAGTCTGGTCCTGGTCCTGCATGGCAGGGGACTCAAACTGGGAAAAAGCCCCAGGAGTCTCTCATCTGCCGTTCCTGGTCAGGGAACCATATGATAGAACTGTGGGGGACTGGCGGTGGCTGAAAAGATAAGAAGTATGAAATATAAATGACCTTTATTTTGAGAATGTGGGGAGAGACACCCCCGACACCCTGGGGCACGGCATCTCCCCCTAGGGTTGACAATCTCTCCGTGGAACACGTGGAGTGGAGGCATATAAGTAGCCTAGATTTGGGGTGGAACCTAAGAGGGCATTAGGGATGCACAGGTAGCCCATTGGTCTTTGGTGCCATAGGTAAATTCCTAAGGGGTGGGGGAGATGGAGCTCCTTGGTTCCGCCTCATGGTTTACCAGCAACAGTGTCCTGTCTGGGCAAAAACTCTTTCAGAATTCATGACCACTCCCTTGCAAGGCAGGTACTTATGCCACTGAGCTAAATCACCAGCGCCTTTTCTAGGGTCTTTTATAGAACAAAACCACGAGGTGTGGCAGATCCAAAGTGGGGAAGAATGGGACCTTGCAAGGTGGGCATGAGATGGGACAGAATTATGATCAACCAGTAAGATTGTAACTGCTCAGGAAAGATTGATTCAATCGGGACCCAATAGAGAAGCAAGTCCTGTGGCAAACAGGAACCCGCCTTTGCCTGTAATGGGTTGGATTAGTGACTTTTGGCTTCCTCAAGGTGATGGATATTTAGCATATCAGTCCTTGAGGTGTGGCTGTATTTATTTTGTCTTTTGTCTTGAGATCTGGCCTAAAGTGGGAGGTGTTTGTTGTCTCCCTTAATTGCGAAGTACCTGAAAGGGTTTTGGCCCAGATAGGACACTGTAGCCGGTGGAGCTCCTATCTTCCCCCACCCCTAGGAATTTACCTGTGACATCTTCCCCGCCCCCTAGGAATTTTTTTTTTTGTCTTTTTCCTTTTTACTGGTACCAGGGATCGAACTCATGACTGCCTGCTTCCAAGGCAGGCGCTTATGCCGCTGAGCTAAATCCCCAGCCCCCTCCCCTTAGGAATTTACCTATGGCGCCAAACCAAGACCAATGGGCTACGCGTGCATCCCTGATGCCCCTTTAGGTTCCACCCCAAACTGAGGCTACTTACATACCCCCACGCCAAGTGTCCACCTGAGAGAAAGCCAGACTCCAGCAGTCGGGGTTGTTTTGGTTTTCTCTCTACAAGTTCTCAGAATAAAGGCCTCTTTTGTTTTATGCTTCTCATCTTTTGGATATAATCTTATCATTTGGTGCCGTGACTTGATGGGCAGGTGATTGATTCCTGGGACACACCCAGTTGAGTCCCCAGCCAATTCACGAACCGGATTACATCCTTGGTTAATTCTCTGCTTTTCCTCTCCTGGGACCTGCTTGACTTATCACCAACCGCTTGCACACAATACCAGCCCAATTAATCTCAGGTGAGCAAACTCTGGAGAATTCTTTGATGCTGGGCTCAGCCCCAGGCAGGTTTTCTCCCGACTTTCTATGGGTTCGTGACACTCTCACCTCCTTAAGACAGCCCAGGGCAGGGTCTTTCTGGGCAATGTGCATCCACACTCGAAAATCTCTCACATCCTTTGGGTTTGGATAGCCCAAGACAGAGTTTTCTGGACTGCCCATACTGTAAGACCCTCACGTCCCTCAGAGCTTTAGGCTCTCACAGGCAGAACTGTTACTGACCCCATGTGGACTCCACTGGTAAATCTCTCAGTGATGACTGGAATATACCAGTTTTTGGACCCTAACCACTGTTTGGTGCCACAGGACGAGTGATGGCTCGCCCTCCGGACCACAGCTCATTTCTTGACTGAATTAATCATGGGAAACATTTTTTCTAATTCCTAAAAAACGCCTTTACAATACCTAATTTCCAATGCACATACTCTTAAGATTAAAAGCATCATAAAAACTAAATGATTAACTTTTTACTGCCAGGAGGTTTGGCCAACCTACCCACTTATTGGCAACCCTTGGCCCAGAGAGGGGATGTCCGACCCCAATTTTCTCAAAAATCTGTATGATTTCTGCCAGGCCGGTGACAAGTTAACAGAGATCCCTTATGTACAAGCTTTCCTTGCTCTGAGAACACACCCCTCTCTCATTAAATCTTGTTCCCCTGCCCAGGTACTTTTAGCTAACTTTGTTGCGCCGCAAACTCTCCCCCCCTGCCCTCATGATCTGCTAGATGAAATACCCCCAGTTTTTTATTGGCCACCGCCCACCTACCCCCAAAATCGTTGCTCGCCATTACCTCCTGCCATGAGATCATCTTCCCCTCCCTCACCCTAATTCTCCTGGCAGCTCTAATCCCTCTGTGTGGCAGTTATCTCCTGCTGTTCAATCATTTTCCCCTCCATCTCCCGGAGCCCACAACTCTCTCAGCAGCTCCAATCCCTCTGTTAGCACTTCCTCGCAGTCTCCGACTTCTTATTGTTCTGAGAATTCTCTGTCCCCTACAGCATTCTCACCTCCAGTCCACCATACTAGGTCTGGGTCACTGTTTCCTTCTGGCAAGCCGCGTGACTGTTCCAGCTTGCACCGGGAACGGTTGCCATGTTGTGGCCCTCCACCACGTGACAGGGTGCCGCCATCTTGGGACGGTTCTCACGGTCAATGGCCGCCCCTTGTGGCTCCTCTTGTGATCAGCAACAGCCACCCTATTGCGTACCACATGATGGTTCACTGTGCTGCGGACAGCAATTTCATCGCTGCAAGGCACACAGTGAGGCGCCAACTGCCTGTTTCCTCATCCTATGTTAACTGGCAACTGCTCTGTAGCCGCTCTACAGATGATTGCTCACACGCGTCTACCAGACGGAGGGCTGCCCAATGGCCATCTACTCTTCAATCTTCTCCTCAATCTCTGCTACCACTTCGGAAGCAAGCTGGCCCCAAGGGACTTGTTAATATACATGTGCCTTGCCAGCATGGTGGCTCATGCCTGTAATCCCAGTACTCGGGGATGAGGTGGGAGGATCCTTGTGAGTTGGAGACCAGCCTGGGCTACAAAGTGAGCTCAAGGCCTGCCTGAACTGCATAGCAAGACCCCGTCTCAAAAAAGACCAAATATATATATATATATATATATATATATATATATATGTGTGTGTGTGTGTGTGTGTGTGTGTGTGTGTGTCTTTCTCCCTTTCTGACTTATCTCAGATTACCCATAAATTAGGTAGCTTCTCTGTTGACCCTTATGATTTACATTTTAAGGATGTTTGTGATTCTACATACCACTCTCAGCTCACAAGAGCAAAGTCAGCTGTGGCAAGCAGCTTGAGAAGAAGCTGATCTCAGACATAAGGGGAATACTGCTGATAATGACCCTGGGCCTGCAGCTATGCAAGAATAAGATCCTAATCGCAACTATCAAAACGGTGAAGGTTTGACAAAATTACATAAAATGATTGAGTGTCTGATTGTGGGCCTTAATAAGATTGCTCACAAACATACTAACTATAACAACCTTTCAGAACAGGTCCAGGAGGCTAATGAAAACCCAGCTGTGTTCCTAAATTGGCTTCGAGAAACCTTAATTAAGTTTACTAATGTGAACCCAGACTCTCATGAAGGGATAATTGTTGTTAACTTTTATTTTATTTCCCAGTCTGCTCCTGATATTCGTGCAAAATTACAAAAGGTTGAACATGGCCCTCAAACTCTGCAATGGGATCTACTTAAATTAGCTTTCCATGTCTTCAACAACAGAGAAAAAATTCAAAAAGAGGAAAAGCAAGATCAAAAATTAAAGTTTGCTAAATATCAGTCTGATCTCTTAGCAGTGGCACTCGGGGCTCCCAGGACAAGAAATCCAAAACAAGGTGTGGCTGCCCGAGTCCTGCCCAGACCGTGCTTTAAATGCAGCAAACAAGGACACTGGACAAAAGATTGCCCCAGCCCTGGCATTCCTTTAGGACCATGTCCTTACTGCAACCTTAAGGGCCATTGGAAGAGTGACTGTCCTAGCAGCCAGCGAGCGAGTAAGCCATCTTCTAACTCCTTGCCCTCACAGGAGACTCAGTCAGTGCCAGATTCATCACTGACTGATCTGCTCGGAGTTGATGCGGAAGATTGACGGGGCTCGGGGCTCACAGCCCCACTCTGGTAACCTTGTTGGAGCCCCGAGTCTCACTGGAGGTCTCAGGTAAGATAATATCTCTGCTTGTAGATATGGGGGCAACTTATAGTATACTTCCTGAAATTTCAGGACTTTGTAGTAAGTCCTTGATTTCTGTTGTGGGCATTGACGGCCAGCCTACCGAGCCTTTGCAAACTGGGCTGCGGACAGCAATTTCATCCAGACTCTTCTTTATCCATAACTTCCTAGTTATTCCAACATGTCCCACACTCCTTTTAGGTAGAGATCTTCTTCAAAAGCTTAATTTTTCCTTGACTTTCTCTCTCCCCAAAGTCCTAATCCTCCAAACAGCCTCACAATGTGTCGCAAAGCCATTCCCTCCCCTTCCTCCTTCTCTGGTTGACCCCCTAATTTGGGACACATCCAATCCTACTCTGGCTACACATGCCACACCTGTTTTAATCTGTCTCAGGGATCCTTCAGTTTTTCTCTGCGTCCCCCTATACCCCATAGCTCCCCAACATTTAAGGGGACTTAAACCCATAATTAAGCACCTTTTAGACAATGGTTTTCTTAAACCTACCCATTCACCCCACAATACTCCCATTCTCCTGGTACTCAAGACTGATGGGTCCTATCACCTGGTACAGGACCTTAGGGTAATTAACAGTGCTGTTACCCCCACTCACCCAGTGGTGCCAAATCCTTATACCATGCTCTCTCATATCCCTCCCTCCACTACTCAATTTACAGTTATAGATCTTAAAGATGCCTTCTTCACTATCCCCCACACCCTGATTGCCAGAACCTCTTTGCGTTTACATGGACTGACCCAGACACTCTCAGGTCTCAATAACTTACTTGGACAGTACTCCCCCAGGGGTTCAGGGATAGTCCCCACTTCTTTAGTCAGGCTCTTGCTACTGACCTCACAGAACTCGATCTCAAACCTAGTGTTCTTCTTCAATATATAGATGACCTCTTATTATGTTCTCCATCCCACATGTTAGCCATACGCCACTCAGCCAGTCTTCTTAATTTCCTTGCTAGTCGTGGATACAGGGTCTACACACCCATTGTCAGGACTGGCAGATAGATGTAGTTACCAAAGTCATATTACAAGAAATCATTCCAAGGTTTGGTCTACCTCAGAGTATTCAGTCAGATAATGGTCCCACCTTTATTTCTCAGATCACTCAACAGGTATCCTCGAGCTTACACATCCCATACCATCGCAATCCTCAGGCAAAGTGGAAAAGGCAAATGGCCTCATAAAGACACACCTTACAAAGCTCTCTTTAGAACTACACCAACCTTGGCCTCAACTTTTGCCCTTAGCCTTAGCCAAGCTCAGGGCACTCCCCCGGGCTCCTACTTTCTAAAGTCCTTTTGAACTTATTTACGGCAGGCCATTCTTACTCCACAATCTTCCTACTCCCCAAAATCTCCCTCCCCTTACTGACTATGTCCCAGTCCTCTCCTTCCTCTGACACCTGTTGCAAAAACATGCTGATCTCTGCCTTCCACAGCCCTCTGGAGAGGCCAAACCAGATCCTCCCCTATCCCTAGGAGATCTAATTTATCTCAAATGTTCTAAATCCACAGGACTACACCCAAGGTGGAGTGGCCCCCATCTGGTCTACTTGGCTACCCCTACAGCAGTCAAAGTTGCTGGACTGCCATCCTGATTTCACATCACTCAGGCTAAGGGATGCCCTCCCAGCCCTAAATCTGATCATTCTGAGTGTTCATCTCATCTTCTGTGGCCCACCCATCTCTGTTTCATGAAAGCCTCGCAGCCACAGTTAACAGGCTAAGTCATGTTTTGTTATCCACTTTGGTTCCTAATTTCTTATGTTCTATTAATGATCATTTTTATAGCAAGACTCTTGACATCTTACTCATGACAACTTACTCTTCCTAGAGACTCCCACATCATGAGTAAGATAATCTCCATAATGTTCTATGTGATGACTATGCAGTTCTTTCTACCCTCAGCTGTCTGGTTAAACGTGACATCCCTGAAAGGCTAAGCCCTTACCTTCCCTATACTGGTACAGCCACTGCCTTCCTTGCTCCCTTTATTTTTTCCAGTTCAACTCCTGGACTGGAGACAAGTTTTATACACCTACCCTCCTAACTTTTACCCTTTCAGATGGGGGAGTCATCACCTCTCATAATTTCACTCCTTCTAACCTCACACTTATTTTTCAGAATTCTACCTCACCATGATAATGATCCTACCTCAATGTCATCCTGATATAATGACATGTCTAAATCAAAGGCACCTTTCCCTCTACCTCACCTGGGTCCCTAAATATGACAGTGCCATGTGTCCTCATAACATTATGACTCTTTGTTTTTCCAGTCTGACATACGTGCATTCACCAGTGAAGTTGTTCTGGCTAAAACACCTGGCACCAGCGTCTACCTGGGCATCAGCCGTCATCCCATTGACTCCCCTAGACTCCATTACAGTGCCCTCTGCCAGCAGGAAGTAAAGAGAGAAATCTTTGCCCCTTTTCATAATAATAACCATAAGAGGGTATATGAAAGGGTTTTGGCCCAGACAGGACACTGTAGCTGGTGAAGTCTTAGAGGCGGAACCAAGGAGCTCCTATCTCCCCCACCCCTAAGAATTTACCTGTGACATCTTCCCTGCCCCCTAGGAATTTACCTATGGCGCCAAACCAAGACCAAAGGGCTACCTGTGAATCCCTGATGCCCCTTTAGGTTCCACCCCAAACTGAGGCTACTTACATACCCACCATGCACGTGTCCGCCAGAGAGGAAGCCGGACTCCAGTGGTCGGGTTTGTTTTAGTTTTCTCTGTCCGCATTCTCAGAATAAAGGCCTCTTTTGTTTTATACTTCTCATCTTTTAGATATAATCTTATCAGTACCTGGGCTTCTTTTTCATTTTTTTTTATCAGTACCAGGGATCGAAGTCACAACTGCACACTTGCAAGGAAAGCGCTTACGCCGCTGAGCTAAATCCCCAGCCCCTAGCTACCTGGGCTTCTGTGTTGCTTCCTTTGAGGGCCCAGAGCTGTCTGAACACCTATAATGTTTTTCTAACTCAGCTGCATGTAACAGTGATCACATTTCTTGAAATTTGTCCCGTTGCGCTGAACCTACACAGAAACCTCACCTCATTCACCTCAGTATTTATAGCAGCTTTTCTCATAATTGATAAGATGCAGAAGCAGCTTACCTCTTGTAGGGGAGAGGGCTCAACTTCAGCCATCCAGACAGTGGAATATGAGTCACGGGAGAAGACATGGGAGAAGCTAATCTGGACATTACATGGTGAAAGAAGCCAATCTGTGCGGCTCCCGCAAGGTTCCAGTTTAGGACCTGGAAAAGGGAGGATGGAGACAGGAGGAGACCAGGGTTTGGCCCGGAGGGAGTGTCAGATGGCAGGGCGGTGACACCACCTTGTGATGCGGCAAACCCTGAGGCTGAGACTAATAAGATTAAAGCAGGGCAGTCTCACTAGCTGTAAGAAATGCACCCCTGGGGCTCAAGGGTGTTGATGTTGTGTGTTCGCCTGCGTGTGCGTGAGCTCTATGCTTCTGCTCAATATTGGAACAAACCTAAATGTACTCTAAAAAAGTCAGTTTGAAAAGGAGGTGAGGACAAGTGGTTCCCACCCTGTGGATGAGCTGTAAAGCACTGGCCTTTCCCTGGGGTGAGCTCGGCCCTGCCCAGCTAGGTGCAGGCTCTGTTTTTTGAGACAGGGTCTGGATGTGAGGTTCAGGCTGACCTTGAGCTCACTTTGTAGCCCAGGCTGGTCTAGAATTTGCAGTAATCTGCCTGCCTCAGCCTCCCAAGTGCTGGGGTTACAGGAGTGCGCCACCACGCCCGCCGAGGTGACTAGTGTCCACTGTTCATTACATGCCCCATCGCTAGCACTGGGTTGCTTTGATTTTAGTTTCCCTTCATTATCTCCTTTCTACTTCATATGGTTTACTCTATGTATTTTCTATTTAATTTCTTAACCTCAATCCATTAATGTCTTCTCCCTTTCTTCTTTTTTTTCTTGTTTTTGAAACAGGGTCTGTGTACTTCCTGTGGTCTAGAACTCCTGACAGTCCTCAGGCCCACCTCAGCCTCCACGTGCTGGGATTATAGGTGTGTGCCACTGAGACTGGCTTTGGGGTGCTCAAGTCTCCTTCTAGTGACTCCTAGGTTCTTTCTGTCCTTTGCAAATAGTTGGTCAAGATGATGGCAAATAGTAGCTTTCCATGCATTAAAGGAAAAGGAAGGGAGGAGTTTGGGGGCAAGACAAGGAAGGACGTGCGTCCTGCAGTGTGTGTGACAGAACGCAGTGGCCGTGGAGAACTCAGTGGGACTTCCTTTCGTGTCGGCCACTCCTCAGGCTGACAGCCTGCTCTAGTGCTCTCCAGAGGAGCAGAAGACATGGAGCTGCGTGGTACCGTGCTGGGACTCTCTGACGTCAGGCCACGCCCACCTCCAGCCAGCCTGCCTTGCCCCAATCTCAGGGCTCAGACTTTTGATTCTCCTGCCTCAGCCTCCTGAAGAGCTGAGCATGCAGGTGTGTGCCGTATCTCCTGGCTCTGGCTGTAGTTATGGCTCAGTAGGGCTGACACAAGTGCCTCCTTTTTGATTTTGACTACTGTCCTATTTCTCACATAACCATTCTTATCCTGAAGCCATTCTGATAACTATCATTTTGTACCACACTTTTCTCTTACTAAGTTGCTTCCCCTCAGGTATTTGTTACAGGAACAAAAAGCAGTAACAAGCGTACTTTCCACATTTGTCCTTTCCTGGGTGGATGGACTTTGCTTCAGCCTCAGGTGCCGTGTAATTTCCCCATATCTCAATTTACTGTCTAAAGAGTCTTTAAAACTGAGATGGAATTCAGAGTCCATCTTTAAAAGCATATGGTTTGGCATGCCTCTTACTACCTGATTCCAAAATGGTCTTGTTACCAGGAGTGGTGACTCAGGCCTGTAATCCCAGCTGGGATGCTGAGGCAGGAGGATCATTGCAAGTTCAAAACCAGCCTAGGCTACAAAGTGAGCTCAAGGCAGCCTGAACTGCATAGTGAGATGCTGTCTCAAAAAAGTGACTTCATCATCCCCAAAAGAAAACCATCTCAATGCCATCACTCCACTCTCTGCTACCCAGCAGTAGATCACATGGTCCTCTGTCCCCATAACTCTGCCTGTCCTGGACATCAGTGGCCTGAGTGTCTGGCTGTCTCCAGGTCCACCCATGCCATAGCAGGTAACAAGGTACCTTTCCTTTTGATGGCTCAGTAGTATTCCACGGTACATGTAGCCATGTCTCCACCCATGGACACTGGGCCGTTTTCACTTTTGGATTCCTGTGATGCTATGCTGCATATGGGCACAGCTGTTGTGTAGATGAATGTCCTGGCTTCTCTGAGGCACCAACAGTCACACTGTCACGGCTGCCAGCTTCATCTTTTGTTGTTGTTTCGAGACAGGGGTCTCACTGTGTAGTTCAGGCTGGCCTTGAACTCATGTAGTACAGGCTGACTTTGGACTCACGGTGATCTTCCTGCCTCAGCCTCCTGTGTGCTGGAATTACAGTCATGTGCAAACATATGGGGTAGCATCATGACTTTTTTTTTTTTTTTTTTTTGGTACTGGGGATTGAACTCTCAACCTTGTGCTTACCAGGCAGGTGCTTATGCTGCTGAGCTGAATCCCTGGCCATCGTTATTTGCTTAGCAGAATTTGCCAAGCATGTTTTTAGTCCACTCAGGACATCAACACAGCCAGGAGAGTAGGGGCAGAGGCCCAGGGCTGCCGCACAGCGACTCCTCCCCAGCTCCATTGGTGGAGTGCAGGACTGCAGGGGTGGACCTCACAGCTGTTGTGGACAGTGGCGAGAGCACCGTGGTGGGCACGAGTTCACGGTGAGAGGCAGGGCTTAGCAGGGGTTCAGGGCCGAGGGTCTCTGCCACAAAAAAAAAAAATTAAAAAACAAAACATCTGCTGCATTTTGTGATTCCCAGAGGCTATCTGTGCATTTCCATGCAGTCTGATCCCGCAGACAAAAGTTCATTGTTCTGAAACATCTATGCTTTATAGATGCCCGAGGTGACAGCGTGTGATGAAAAGCAGCACCAGTGAATTAGCTGAGTGCAAAGATCTTTTTTTTATAGAAAAAAACGCAGCTTGGATGTGGAGTTTTACTGCTCCGGGCTGTGTCAGGGAATGCTTACCGGGCAGCCGCACCGGCTGGGAGGAAGCAGGCAGGGCAGGGTGAGGGCCCGTGGGTTCCTAGCTACTTTTTTGAGGTAAGGCCTCACTACCCAGGTCAGGTTGGCCTTGAACTCACCATGTAGCACAGTGTGGCCTCGAGCTGTGGGGATCCAGACTGGCCTACCAGTCAGCCACACCCCAGCCCTTCCTGTGCACTTTAGGAACACAGGAAGTAATTCAGTGGGGACACAGCTTCCCACTAGCATGTGTGAACACAGATGCCTTTTACAAAATGTGCATTCCTGTTACCAAGAAGCTCACCCAATGGGGGGATTTTGCGTGAGTAACTATTCCCCATGTGTAGCAGGCAAGTACCCACCAGTGGGTCCTGGACACATGAAGTTGGGTATGGTGTGTGACACATGACCTCAGGACATGTCCAACCTCAAAGTGCTTGTGTCTGTGTGTGACTTTATTCTTGGTTTTTTTGTTTTGTCTTTTTGAGACAGGGTCTCGCTGTGTCGTTCAGGCTGGGCTTGAGCTCACTTTGTAGCTCAGGCTAGTCTCAAATTTGCAACAATCTTCCCGCCTCAGCCTCCTGTGTGCTAGGATTACAGGTGTGCACCACCATGCCCAGCTCTTGGTGTTTCTGGTTTCCTAAGATGCTATTAAAAATTCAGGCTATATTAAATGCCCCCCCCCAAGTCCCCAAAAGTCAGAGGTGCCAATGTGGGAGAAGTCTGAATTCAAGCTCAGCCTGGGCTATATTTCAAGTTCCTGTCTCAAAATAAAAAAGAGCAGAGGGCTGGGGATGGAGCACACGGTGAAGGACCTGAGTTCAAGCGCTATTAACTCAGGGGAGAGAAGGAAAGGAAAAGAACACTGATTCGAGAAGAGGGGAGGCATGGCTCTCACATGGGGGAAGGAATCCACATCCTTTTTATTTCAAAAATCACAAGAGAGCAAAACACCAGCGGCCCCCTCCAGCAGCCTCTCCTCCCCACCTAGCCCATCTGCTGGAAGCTCACTGCTGTCGGAAGTGGACAAAGAACGTGAGGATTTCTTTGGGGTGGACAGTGACCTTGTGGTTGCTGGGCGGCCATGAGTGGGAGGCAGGGCGGCCTGGGGAGCACAAAGAGTCCATCCTCAGAGCCCACAGACTATGAGGCCAATGCAGTCTGCTCTGTCCAGCATGAGGGGAGGGCCCCTAACCTGTTTGGCGGCCAGGCTTCGTCCTCCAGCTCCAGCGCTGCATGGTGTGCACGTCCCAGGTCCCTGTGAGCGAGCGCTCCTGCACCGCCGCCACGGCCCCCAGCCCCCGCAGCACGGCCTGCAAGGACAAAGAGGGGCAGCAGAGCTCCTCAAGCCTCTGGGGTCCCCGCAGAGCAGAGACTAAATCAGTTGGGTGGCTGGTCCAGCGACTGGGAGTCCCAGCCTAGAGCCTGGAGAAGGTGCTGTCATTTTCAAACTGGCCCAGGGCCCTCTGGCACAGGGACCTGGGCAGCTGGACACTAGGGGTTCACCACCGGGTGTGCTGTGTTCCTGGTGGGGTGGTGGGGGTACAGCTCACCTCCAGATTCACTGTCACCGGCTGTGACAGCACTGGGTCCTCCCCTGCCTCGTACAGGTGGTGGAGCCGCAGCAGGACACGGCGCAGGTCTGCTTGGGCCTGCCCTCGGTGGCCTTTGGGGACAGGAGGCGGCAGTGAGAACCTGCTCTGCTCCAACACCCTGAGGGCCTCTGGTCCCTGCCTGGCATGTGACTCCACCCATATTCCCAATGGCCCTGAGCAGCAGGGGATGGGACCCCCCTGGACAGGCAGCAAGCCAGGGCTGGGGGACTGTGCCCTGCCCATGGGAGGGAGCACAGCTGTGTGCCCTAGGCAGAGGGCCTCCGCCTATAACCCCAGTGCAGCTCCCAGGGATTGGCAGGATGTGGTTGCCCGAGGAAGCTCATGGCGAGGGGGACAGTGTGGCCAGTCCTGGGCAGGGCCACCTTGCCCAGCTGAGTGACGGCTCATCCCGGCGCCCACTACTGTCTCCCTGTTGTCCTGATAAGGGGGCAGAGCCGTGACAAGGCTGAAGTGTCCCTCCCCCCATTATCTGTCTATGGCCAGGGAGGGAGCACTGGAGGGGCCCAGGCCCCGGTGCCTCACTGGTCCGCAGTGCCCGCATGTGCTCGCTGTGGCTCGAGCTGTAGTTCCAGCCAGGGATGCTCAGGATCTGCAGGTGCAGGTTTGGGGGCAGCGTCACAGCGGCTTGCTGTTGGGGGGCCTGGGGCCTTGAGGCAGGTCCTGCAGGGCAGGGGGTGGTGAGGGGCTTAAGTGGCACTGCCTGTGGCCTGTAGGCTCCCTGCTGGGCCCTCTGTCCCACCCGCCTCTCCTGATAGTCCCATGCATGCCCAGCCATAGACCCACTCAGGCCCTGGCTGTGTGTTCCTCAGCCCTCACTGCTGCTGTCTCCCATTCCTGCTAAGGTCACTGAGCTTAAGAGCCACAGGGATACAAAACCTGGAGGGTGCGCCACCCGTGCAGGGTCCCACAGTGAGCTCCTCCCTGCTTTGGTGCCCACTCCCAGCTCCTCAGTTCCACTCCACCCAGCAGGGGCTGCCATGGCTCATAGTTCCCCTGGCCACACAGATGGCCCAGGCTCTCAGACTGGACCCAAACAGGATCCATATGAGTCCTTCCCTGGGAGACTCTTTTGGGTGCTTTGGTTGGGATCTTTTTGAGACTGGTCTTGAACTTGCTGCTATGTAGCCCAGGGGATTCCCCTGCCTCAGCCTCCTGAGTGCTGAGATTGCAGGTGTGCATCACCCCACCGGGCTTGGTTTCTTTTCTGCATCCGGAGTGCCATACATTGAGGCTTAGTTACCAGCCCCTGGTGCCACCACTGGGAGGTGGATGAGCCGTCAGGGGGCGGGGCCAAGCGAGAGGAAGGTGGGTAACTGCAAGGTGGTCAGTTTCCACCTTGCAGTTGGACCACAGACTAGAAGTACCTGGTGACAGCGTGGACAGATCCAGACAGACCCAGCTTGCACACCGAGGCCTTTCCTGTCCCACCCCCACCCGGATCCCAAGGGCTCCCATGGTCCGGGCAGGCAGCCAGCCGCTGCACCAAGTACCCTTGGCGCGAGTCCCACGTCCCGGCAGCTCTCTGAGCAGCACCACCGGCCTGTGCTGTAGCGCTAGCGCGCTCTGTGGGTGCAGGGCAGTGGTGACCGCCTGGGACCCCAGCAGCAGCCAGAGCACGGGGTGGACGATGGAGGTGTCGTTCAGCGTGAGGTTGTAGTTCAGGTCCCAGGCCAGGTTGTTCCACAGGCGCCGATGGAGCATGACCTAGGGAGGGGGATGGAGGGCTCTGCAGCTGGCCGCCGTGCCGTGTCGGGGGTGGCTGAGGACAAGAGCAGCCCACTTACCTCCACCTGCCCGCTACCCGGGCTGGAGACACCATGCGCCCTCTCCGAGAGCAGCACCAGCCTGCTCCTGCTGTCCTCGATGAAGGCCGATTGCACCATGGGGTAGTAGTTCTATGGGCACAGAGAGGTCGCCAGCACAGGCCGTGGGGTAATCCTAGTCCCTGAGACTCACACCGGGGTTGAGCTCCTGCGGGCCTAGGCCTGGCTCTAGCTCGGTGTTTGACCCACCTCACTGCATCCACCCTCACAGTGGCTCTCTGATAAAACACTTCCTTTACAGAAAGGGAAACTGAGGCACAAACCATGGATTCTTATCTGGCAGCACTAGGACCCCAATGCCAGTCGGACCCAGGTGCACAGGCATGTAGCAAAGTGGCTTTAAAAGAGGTTTCTACTCCTAAGACCCGATGTTAAAGATGCAGACAAGCCAGGCGTGATGGCTCACACCTGAAAAGCCAGCATTCTGGAAGGCTGAGGCAGGAGGATTCCAAATTCAAGCCTAGCCAGGAAAACTTAGTGAGACTCAGTCTCAAAATTTAAAAGTGAGAAATGGCCTGAGGATATAGCTCAGCTCAGCATGATGGTCCTGGGTTCTATCCCTAGGATCACAAGGAGCAGGGGGAACAGGAAAAGCAGCCCAGAGCTCAGCGCAGGCCACAGGGCATACCCGCGCAATGGTGTTGCTCTCATAGGCCCTGTAGGGCCTCCGATGCATCTGGTAGCCGTTGTTGTCTGAGTAGAGGACCTGCTGGCTGTCCAGATCACTGCTGGTCCTCAGGACGGCCTCGCGGTTCAGCTCGAGGGGCCCCACTCGGTATTCCTGTTCTATGCGGTGGCACAGCAGCTCTGCCCCAGGGCCTTGGGACACGTGGGCCAGTCGGGAGTGAATGGCGTATGTGTAAGCCTGGGCCGTGGCATCCCTGAAGGAGAAGGTCGGTTGGGGGAGTGAGGTTTCAGGAGCCTCGGGAGGCTCTGTCTGCTCTCCTTCCTTCCTGTATGAGGAAGGGCAGGCAGCCAGGAAGCCTTTCTGGGCACAGGACAGAGGACAATGGCACAGCCAGGGACACAAAAGCACAGCAAGAGCATGCAGGTCTCTGAGACCACGGCATACTACGCCTGGCCCGGGCCATTGGTGTGAGAACATGAACCCCTCTTGCTGATGACCGGCAGGACCCTCGTAAACACGCGTGGAGCCTAGAGCAATTTGCTTCCGCTCCAGCAAATTCTCCCAAAGCAACAACTGCCCGGGAGTGAGGAGGCCCCGCAGGTGTGAGCCTCGGGGCCCCAGGCACCTGTAGAAGCGCTGCCGGATCTCGGTCACCAGCTCTCCTGCCACCACCTCCAGTCCCACAGCCTCCCAGGCAGGCACAGCCGTCTCATTGGGCGCGAACAGGTAGTTGTCCGAAATAGGGCCCCGCGTGGCGTCCCCATTGGCGTGGTACTCCAGGAACTCCTGGCTCATGCGCACTGTCCGGTTGCTTTGTCTACAGGAAGAGAAGAAATGCGGCATCTCGGACACCCTGGACGAGGTCTCGCAGGCACCAGTCCTGTGACCTGGGACAAGAGTGGCATCTGCTCCCCCTGGGGGCGGCTGTGAGCCAGAGGTGAAGAACTGCCCTGCAGGGAGCCCCAGACAGGAGCAACAGGCCTGGGGGACCCCAGACCAGCCTTGTGTCCCATCGTGCACTGATGGCCCTGGGGGGAGGGAGCAGGCACCCCAGAGCCTTCTAGATGCAGAGTGCTGAGTTTTTGGTACTGGGGATTTGAACCCAAGGCCTCTACACTGAGCCACATCCTCATTTTTATTTTTTGAGACAGTCTTGCTGAGTTGCTCAGGATGGGCTGGAACTTGCAGTCCTCCTGCCTCAGCCTCCCAGGGTGCTGGGGCTACAGGCCTGCACCACCACAGCAGGCTGGGTGTAAAGGTAGCAAAAGACACACCTGCCGCTGCTGTTGGTTTCTGGGTTGGCCTTACTGTGGGGGAGGACAAGCAACTGGACCACGCCAGACCCACGTGGGGATTTCTGTGGGCCACAGCTGGGTAGGAAAGGAACAGGGGGCCGGCTGAGTCCCTGATGTGACAGGAGAGGAAAGACCGGCTTCCATCTGGCTGCTGCAGTGGCCATGGACAGTGGACCTGTCCATGTGAGCTCAGGGTGAACATGCTGCAGAAGGGGCTGCTGGGTAGTGTCACTAGGGCATGACCTGGAAGGTGAATTCTTATCCTCTATTCCTCCCATCCTCTGCTTCCTGCCTGCTGTGCCACGAGCAGCTTTCCTCCACCAGGATGTTCCTGCCTTGGAGCAGCTGACTGTGGTCTGGACCCCAACCATGAGCCAAATGAACTTCTCCTTGGTTAAGCTGTGGGTGCTAGGTCCCGTGTCTGTGACAGGGAAGTCACTGCTTCTAGCCAGTGTGGTGAGGGTGTGGCCTGGCAGAGGGGACAGCGAGGGCTGGGCCTGCAAGGCACTGGCAGAGTGGGCGCTGGGCAGTGAAGGAGCAGACGCAGATGCCCTTTCCCAGGCTGGTGAGGTGTCTGGCCCGCTGGCCCTACTCCATTCTCGCTGTGCGCTCCTCCCCCCGCCCATCCCAGGAAGGGCCCTGGCTGGGCCCTGATGAGGAGCTCTGTGGGTGCAAACTGTGTACAGCACCCTGGGCCTGGGTCCTAACCCCAGCACTAAGGCCTCCCCCGCCTCGTCCATCTCCTTGCTCGCCTTTCCTGTCCCTCACTCTGGACTGCCACATGTGTCCAGCCATCGAGAGCCCACTCAGGGAAGACACCATGTGTGTTCTGCAGAGCAGCTGAGGCTGAGGACAAAAGCACTGGGCATGGCCAGAGGAAGGGCAGGACTGGGTCCACAGCCTCTGGGGGCCCTTTCCCGCAGTCAGCTGCCCTCGATGCTGTCCACAAACAGCTGCTGAATGAATCCACAAATGAACAGATGGTGGGTGGGCTGCTGGCTGGAGAGGTGGGTGTACGGGTGGGTGCATATATGGGTGAGGAGATGGGTGAAGGGAAACTCAAGACTCATCACATGTGTGGGGCTAAAGCAAGGGCAACCCTGAAGACACAGACAGTCTAAAACAAGCCACCTAAACAAGCTGTTCCAGCTCCAAAGGCCAGGCCAGCCAGGCAAACAAGTTGCTAAGCAGTGGGGCTGAAGGTGACATCAGCCTCCTGAGTGTACAGATAAACGTGCTGCAGTGGGTGAGCAGTTCCTCTCCTCCCATCAGGAAAGAAGGCTCCACCTGACGTCAGTTTTCATCTCTTCTTTATTTCCTCCTCTCTTTGTGGTCCTTTACCCCAAGAACTCAAGAGCTGCATGGGTTGTGGCAGGGATATGGGAGGATGGACAGGTTAAGTGAGTAGATGGGCGAGTGAGTGGGTTGGCAGATGGATGGAACAGAGGGAGGGGTGAACGGGAAGGTGACGGATGAGTGGGTAGAAGGGAAGACGGATGGATGTGCAGGTGGATGGACGGATGGGTGGATGGATGGGGAGACTGTGAGGGGGTAGGAACAGATGACTCTGGCCCCTTTCTGTTCTGAAGACATCATGTTTCTACGTTTCTCTAAGCCTGGAGAGTTGGATACCAACTTTCTCCAGGGTGAGCCCTCGACACCACCCTGTCTCTGGACGGCTCTGGAGATGGGCTAAGAGGGCTTTTTGGCCCTGGCCTGCCCTCTTTGAGCTGAGACCAGAGGGCAAGAAGGGCTTCACTCCACTCAGTCCTTCCTCACACTGGGGGGCTAGGGGCCACCCCAGGCCCTCGGCCTCAGAGCCAGCAAGGGCCGAACCTCACCTCTCCTGGACGCTGTGCAGCAGGTTGGTGTCTGGGTCCAGCAGCACCGTGTAGCAGTTGTTCACCACAGTCACCAGGCGCCTGTTCCCCCTGCTGGTGTGTCGCTGCCTGCGGCCAAACCAGACAGTGCTGGCCATGGTGGCAGCTGCCCGGGTCCCTGTCGTGGGCTGGACACTGTAGTGCCGGTAGCTAAGGCCTGGGATGGTGACCAGGATCAGCAGGTCATAGGCAGAGGGGTCCCTGGTGGACCTCTGGATCTGCAGAGGCAGCAGGACAGAGTGGACGCTGGACCTCAGTGCCGGAAGCTCACTCAGGAGCCCTGGCCTGTACCGCTGCCTACACAGGGTGCTGACCACCCACAAGGCAGAGGTGTCCTTCTGGCTCTTGACTGCACCCCTCGCCCCTCCCCACACCCCTTTCTGGTTGTTGGTTCTCTTCCAGGACCCCATAACACACTTTGCCTTTGGAGAACCCTTCTCCGTCCCAAAGATGGCTGGCTAGTGAGTTCCCAAGGCCTCTCCAACTCAGTCCCAGCTCCCTCAGTCTCCTTTACCCCTAGAAGTGATATAGCCCAGGCTGGCCTGCAACTCATGGTGACCCTCCTGCCTCAGCTCTTGAGTGCTGGGATTGCAGATGTGCTGCAGATGTGCACACCACACCCGCTCCAGATCTGAACTTTTCTGGAACCAGAGACCCACATGTACAGCTTGGGGAGCACTTCCTATCGGCAGAGCCAGCCCTCCCCCAGCCTCAAGTGTCCCCTGGAGGAACTGTTTCCTGTTGGCCCTCCTGACTTCTGCCAGTCCGAGGCGTCTGGCTGGGAGGGGTGGAAGAGGTCACTGGGCACCATGCTGAGACCCTGCACCCGAGAGAAAACCCAGCACCCACCCCAGGGCCAGCCCAGAATGGCGTTCAGCAGTGTTTGCTGCATGACAGAATGGCGTCAGCCCAGGGACTCCTGGATCCCCTCTGGAACCTGAGCCGGCCCAGGCAGGGGAAGGCAGGGCGTGGACCACCCAGCTCTGGAAGTTTGGGTGCTGCAGAGAGAGCTGCATGGGCTCACCCCACCCGCTTCTGCATTACAGACCCCTGAAGGGCTCCAGGCCTCTCCACAGCGGGAGCCCCGCCCGTACCTGTGCGGGCACGAGGCGGCCTGATTCGTCAGTGACGCTGGCTCTAGAGAAGCTGACAGTCAGGGTGATGATGGTGGTGACGGTCCAGGCCAGCGGGTTGTAGACAGACGCAAGGTGTCCTTCGGGCCTTGTACCTATGCACAGTGCACAGCCCTTCCCTGAGGCACTGACCCACTGACACCTGCGGGTACCTCTCCATACAAGGGAGACCGAGGCAGGAGAGCAGCGGGTGAGGGCAGCAGGTTGGCAGTGCTCAGCCATGCAGCACAGTTCGTCTGCTTGGGGCAGGTCCTGAGGTGGGATGCTGGGGTCCCTGTGACCTCACATGTCTTCTCCCCACCTGCCCTTTAGGATGAGAAAACTGAGACCAGAAATGTTCCCTTGCCCGGGAGGTCATCAAGAAGTACATGACCAACAGACAGTGGTGGCACACACCTATAATCCTTGCACTGTGGGAGGCTGAGGCAGGAGGATTCGAAGTGTGAGCTCTGCCTGGACAGGACTAGGGATGTAACTCAGTGCCAAGGCCCTAGGTTCAGCCTCTAGCACCACAGAACAAAATAATAAACAGGTACCCTGCACACAGCACAATCTCACACTCGTGTAGGGAGACCAAGTCACTCGGTCCACCCAGGATTTTCTGGGTTCCGGAATCCCGGCTGCAGAAAGCTGGCAGCATTGTCACTATACACATGAATCCCCAAAGGGGCAGGTTGCCTGGTTATGATCTGTGCCCCACCTAAGCTCAGGAGAGACCCAGATGCCAGGCCTGGGGACACTAGCAGGGCAGCACAGGGTCACAGGTTCAAACACCGCTCCTTTCCTGACCTGAGGGTGTGAGTTAGGAGAAAAGCCCCGCTCTGCTCGCTCAGCTGTAAGATGAGGATAATAATAGCTCTTGTCCTGTTTGGTTTTTATAATCCAGGCTGGCCTCCAACTCAAGGTGGCCCTCCTGCCTCACCCTCCTGAGAGCTGGGTTCACAGGCCTGTGCTACCACATCGGCTCCTACAGAGACTTTTTGCAAGGCAGTGAATTAAATCCTCCATGCAGAGTATTCTGAGCTTGGTCAATGCTCCAAACGTGCTTGCCGTCTCTTCTGGCTCTGACTGTAATCTCAACCCCTCTAGGTGCACGGATGAGGGCATAGAGGGTGACAGCTCTGGAGTTACCAAGGTTACGCCACTGGCAGGAGCTCACAAGGACGGGGATCTTGCAGTGTGAAGTGCTGGCCTGTGGTCTCCTCCCTGGCCCTTGGGGCTCCCTCCTGAGAACAGGCTGCAAGCTCCCACAGGTGGCTTACCTGAGTCAGACCCCAGGGCCACGTGTTGGGCACTGTCCTGGGTGATGGAGGCCATCAGCTTGTGCACCCCCCGTGTGCCCATGGCCAGGTGCTCCACGTACATGTTGCTCACCTTGGGGGACTCGGTGCCAGTGATGGCATCGTGGTGCTGGACCTGTGCACCAGCGCAGGGAAGAAGTGGATCAGGACCGAGCCCATGAGAAGCTGTGTGTCCCTCTCCTTCGCCGAACAGGAAACTGAGGCCAGAGTGGCCAAGGACCTTGTGCAGCCTCTGCTGATGTCACCTACTTGGTGACATCTGGAAAGGACCCAGACTCCCCTCCGGGACCTCCCTGCAGCACCAGCTCCACCTTCTCTAAGGAGTGGGGCCAGGGCCAGATTATCTTGCAGAAGGGGAAACTGAGGCTCTGGGGAAGCCACCTTGGCCCACTGCTCCCTCTGATAGACTTCAGTCCGCCTATCCCCGCCCAAACAAAAGACAGGTCCTGTGGAAATTCCCTTCGGTGACTAAAAGTGGCCACTTCTTGGTGGGGCCAGCTCATGGGACCTCTTGGGAGTTCATTCCCCAGTGGAAATGGCTTTCAGGACTACTGGACCCCATGCAGCCACCTCGACGAGTGGGACAAGACTAATGCACCCCGTGGCCTCTGCTCTGGGAGGAGGGAGTCGCTTTCATCATCTGGGGAGGGAATCAGGGCTGGGAGAGGGAAGGCCCTATTCCCGAGGTCACACAGGTGAGCTGAGACCTGGACCCAGGCAGGCCCATCAGACCCCGATGCCACCCAACCCTATCCTTTATTCCTTTAGAGAAAATCAGTTGCAGAGATCAATGAAGCCACTGGCTAGGCGCCACCAGACCTAGGCCCGGCCTCGCCATGAACCAGGCTCGTGACCAAAGGAACCTCAGTCTTCCCATCTGTAAAACGGGGTGCTAGAACTTGGGGCCAAAAGGACTTGCTAGGGCAGGGTGGGAGGCCCACAGCACAGCAGATCCCCTGCCCCTCTGCAGTCCAGACATGTGGCATTACCTCAGAGACAGCCCAGCGCAGCTGCTGCAGTTGCTGCAGTGCCCAAGTGGGGTCCAGAGTCCCTCGGGGTGCCGGCCACATGTAGCGTGTGAACATGGACTCCCCTGCGTACAGCAAGGCGCTGGCTTGCCGTGCCAGTCCCTTGAGGGTGCTGCGGGATGCGTAGAAGCCCGTCCAAGCCTGCTGCTGTTCTAAGAGACAAGATGGGGAGTCTGAGACTCCGACCCAGGTGACTCAGGGACAGGCTTGCACTGCAGCAGAAACATCTCGGGGAGTGGATGGGACTGGTGGTCATAATCTTTGCAGAGAGGGGAAGGCTAGGGGCAAGGTGCGGTGGGGCTGGGCAACTCCCTGCTTGGGGCAGGCCTGTGCCTCTGCTCTCTGTTTTGGGCCCACAGGGCCTGGGCTAGGCCATAAAAGTTGGCCACAGGTTGTGGGAGCAGATAGACAGGGCTCCCCACATCTCCCTGGGCAAACTGAGTGACTGGTGGGGTTGGGCTTCCAAGTCAGGCAACCCCAAGGCCCAAGGTCTAATGGCAGTATCACTAGGCCCACCTGAACACAGTCCTGCCTACCTCTAATGCCCCACTGTACACTGCAGGACACAACTCCAGCTTCAGAATCCACGGCCACAGAAAACTCCTCCCACCAATAGCCACGCCCACAACAAACCCTCCCACCAGTAACACCCATGCCAATCATCCCACTTAACTGTAACCACGCCCACATGCCAAAGCCCCCGCCCACTGGGGGCATAACCACACCCACATGGAAATAGCCACACCCACCAGATAACCACAACCACATCTCTCCTGCCTGATGGTAACCACGCCCACACTATGCCTCCCACCCTGCAGTCACTCCCACTAAAACAAAGGTCCTTGAGGGCCACACAGTCTTACAGTCCAAGGCCTAGCGGTGAGCCCCACAGAGGGGGAAGGAAGGAGACAATGTCAAGCCTTCCCATGGGGGGTCTCCCCCATCCCCCCAGAACCCCCTCACAGCAGAAACCCAGCCCACAGGTGTGTGGCTTGCCACAGCCACAGCCTGGACTGAGAAGAGCTGTGACCCAACCCCAGGGTGCTGGGAGTCACTGTCCCAGCCAGGCCTTCCTGTCCTGTTGCCCTGGTGAACCTTGGCCCCAGCACTCCCATCGGATGGGGATGGCCACAGCCATGTGGCTCCTTCCCTGCCTGTCTTTAAGGTGGCCTCCAGTGGGGCACCCACAGGTGCTGGCAGAGCAGCCTGGGAGGTGGCTGCACCCATGTCCCTGGGCTGTCCTGGCTGGGGGCGAGCCAGCCAGCACTGTCCCCATCTGTGCCCAGGGGGGCAGGACCCTCTGGGGCTGTGATGTCTTCTGCAACAAAGACAGATGGTTCTGCGCTGGCTGTGACAGCCATAGGCAGCCTGGGGTGGGGTGCAGAGGGCAGAGAGGCAGGGCTGCCAGGGCAGGGGGCACAGGTGTCGGAGGTGGGCAGGCCTGGGGCTGGTGCTCATGCCCTGTCCCCCATGCCCTCAATGCCAGCAGGCCTGGAGGCACCTCCAGAGCACAGAGTGGGTGGCCTTGGCCAGCCTAGCTCCAGGGCCCATGGACGACAGCGTAATTATAAGGCTCCACGTGCAGGGCCTTCCTCTGGGCTTTTCCTGTCCCATTTAGCATGTATGATGACCCAAAGGACAAAGCAGCAGGACAGTTGCCACCTGTGTGGCCGCAGCTCCGGGACTCGCCCGGCAGGGAGGAACTATTAGGCAGCCGGCCCAGTGCCAGGCCTGAGCACCCCAGGAAGAGCCCAGAGGGGAGCAGTCTTGCACCCCATCCAGAGGCCGAACCTGAGGCATAGGGCAGGAAGTCCTGGTGGTTTCGGACGCCCCAGGTGACATTGAGCTCGTGCAGGGCACGGAAGTAGTCGTCCAGCGTGGCATACTCAGCCGTCACACCCAGCTCAGCGGCTCGGCTGTTGATGTGGTCCAGCAGCGGGTCCATGTTGGCGAACTGCACCGAGGCGTTGAAGAACTGCTTGTCACAGCCCTGCAGGGGGACACGGGAGCCCCCAGTGGGTCAGGATGGTCAGTGCTGCCCCCGTCCAGCCCCCCCAGGGGGTCCATGGTGCCAGTGGGCTCCCCCAGGTCTCTGGAGGCGGTCAGGATACCTGTGTTACCAATCTGCTAACTAACAATGTGGGATTTTTAAATTTGTGTTTTGAGATCAGGGCTCACTCTACAGCTCAGGATGGCCTTGTATGCACTACAGGGCCCAGGTTGGCTTCAGACTCGCAGTGATCCTCCTGCTTCACCCTCCCGAGTGCTGGGATGACAGGTGTGCACCACCGTGCCTGGTGACATTGTGAAGGTCACAGCCTGACTCACACTTCCTGACCCCAAGCCCTTTTCAGTCAGTCCTGATGCCATCCCTTCTGAGCCACCCTGCTGCATAGCCGTGTGTCCTCAGGATGGTTCCTGACTTCTCTGACCCCCATCCCCTCAAATGCAAAACAGGACCCCAGCCACATCTGCCTCCCCTGGCAGGGAGGGAGACAGAGCTGCCGGGGCCTTGTGAGTGGTGGCCGGGGACCCACTTGGCTTACCCAGGGCCAGAGCACATGGGGCGTCCGGAACCAGGCAGCCCGCTGCTTCACGTTCGCCACCAGGACCTGGGCATAGAGCTCCACATTGGCCGGGGTGACGGGCTCGCTCATGTTGGGGTATACCCCATCTGGGGGAGGCTCTGGGAAGACAGCCACGCCGTTCCAGTAAAAGCCAGACCTGCAGGAGAAGAGGGGAGGTGGGGGGCAGCACTCAGATATGCAGACTCCAAACCCAGCACCCTGTTTACACGGGGGTCACAGCATCCTCCACGCCTGGGTCATTCTAGGGGCCACTGGAGCCAGCAGTTCCTGCTCCCCACCTTGATGGCCCTGCTCCTTCGGGTCACACTAGTTGCCCGCTGGCTACGGCCTCAGGAGCCGAGTAGGCTGGGGACAAAACTCAAGGGGGCACCGCAAATCTCAGAGGTCCACATAAACAATCTGTCCGTCTGTCTATCTATCTGGCTGTCCTGCCTCAGCCTCCCACAGTGCTGGTAATATAGGTATGAACCTTGGTACTCACCTGACAGATAACATTTTAATGCAATATGAAAAAAACAAAATAAGCATAAAAATCAATGGTCACTACATTATCATGAGTTTTAGGTAAAGACAGCTCAGGACCAGCACATCTCCCCTTTGCCTCAGGCTCCAGTTTGGCTTGGGGTGCCCTGGGCCCCAAGGACAGGGCTCGGGGTATGGACCCTGTTCAGAGCCCAGTCCTGGGTCACCTTCTGCATGGCTCTCGTGGGAGACCAGCAGGCAGGGGTGGCTGTAAGTTCCTGCCTGTGTCCTGCTCCCCACCCCGGCCTGCTCTTCTCCTCCGAGCTGGATCTGAACCCAGGGCCAAGCATCTCCAGAAATGGCAGCCTGGTGTGGCCCGGAAGTGAGGCTGACAGATGACAGCTAGGACCAAATGCTAGCTTCGATCTCACCAGCCATGGGCCCTGGGTGGGTTGCCATGCCTCAGTTTCTCCTCCTGTAAGACAAGACATTCGGAGGCCCTCCCTGAGGGTTTTTGGAGTGACGGGGAAGACAAACTGGGCCATGCATCAGGGCTCCTCTCTCCTCTGTCACCAGGGATTCGCTTTGGTGAGCCCCAGCTTTGTGCCCTAAGAGCAGGTGCCACCCTATGGGCTGGCGTGCTGGGGCCCTGTTTAGGGCGGGAACGTCCGCCATGGACCCACTCTGGTCTGCCTGGCTTCCTTGCCGTGGGGATGCCCAGGGCAGCCAAGCACCAGTCAGGCCGGGATGCATGTTCTCGGGAGTAAATCCGCATTCTTAAATAGCCGACGTTGGGCCTGGGGGCGGCACATACTTGCAACACCAGCACTCGGAGGCTGAGGCAGGAAGATCACAGCAAGCTCAAGGCCAGCCTGAACCACACAGTGAGACTCTGCCACAGAACAAATCAAAAATCCAAATAACCCTCCATCGGACCAGGGTACCCCAGCGCTGGAGTCCTGCATGTCCCATTCACCAGCCGGGGTCCTGCCCTGGCCACTGATGGGCTCTGGCTCAGGTCTCCTCCAGGACGGGACAGGGCCAGGCCAGGGCCGGCCAGGGACGCACCTGTTGGAGAAGGGCAGGTGGGCGGGCGTGCAGTAGCTGAACTGGTCCATGACATGCGTGAAGATCTGCTGCTGCGTGGACAGGGACGGCGACCCTCGCCACATGAACTGCAGGCCCTGCAGGCCCGAGGGGACAGGGTGGGGTTGGGATGAGGTCCTGGCTTCCCTCCCCCTTGGCCCCCCACGCCTCCCTGGCCTGCCCAGCCTCCTCTGGGCCATTTGCAGGTGAAATGAGCCCAATGGGAAGTGCACTCAGTGTTCAGTGGTGCCCCAAGCCAATTCTGGGTTACCCCCCTCTACTGCTGCCCTCTAGGGGGTCTGGGCAGAATACTTCATGCTTCAGACCTCAATCTTCCCATCTGTGAAATGGGCTGAACTATAATTCCTCCCGAGTTTATGGTGCAAACAGAACTCACTGAGAAGACACCCAGGCCCTGAGGCTGTGACCACCTTTGAAAGCAGAGCCCTCACAGAGGTGAGCATGGCAGCAGGAGGCCACTAAGATGGGTCCCCCTGAAGTGGCACTGAAGTCCCCTCTGGTGTCTCCCCGAGCCCTGCGCACCTGGGCCTTCTGCATGGCATCCTTGAGATCATAGTCGATGCGGGAGATGAGGTGGGCATGGAAGCCTGCCAGGGCGAACAGCGTGGGCGTCGTGGCTGAGGCACCGAAGGGATCCACGTGCCAGGAGAAGCGCGGCCGGATCCCGAATGTTTCATACAGGAAGCCGTGTCCTTCTGCAGGGACAGGGGCTCACTGGTGCCAGGTAGTGCCTTCCCTCCTTGCCCACACACTATGCACCCCAGCAGGCCGAGTGCCTGCTGCCAGGCTGAGGGGGCACAGGTGGCAGACATGAGGCTCCAACAAAAAAAAATTTTTGTTTTTTGAGACAGGTCTTTCTATGCAGTTCAGGCTGGCCTTGAGCTCACTTTGTAGGCCAGGCTGGTCTCGAACTCACAACCATCCTCCCTGCCTCAGCCTCCCCAGTGCTGGGATTACAGGTGTGCGCCACCACACCCAGCTCTCTCTCTCTCTATTTATTTTTTTTTCTTTTTTTATCAGTACCGGGGATCGAACTCACGACTGCCTGCTTGCAAGGCAGGTGCTTATGCCACTCAGCTAAATCCCCAGCCCCTATATTTTTTGTAAATAGGATCTTGCTATACGGTTCAGGCTGACCCCAAACTCGCAGCAATCCTCCCACCTCAGCTTCCTGAATTTATAGGCCTGTGCCACGATGTCCTCCACTTTTAGGTCTTAGTTGTGGTGAAGCACTTGTAGCAGATAATTTACCAGGTTCTGAGGGTCCTCGGGGTCCATCTGGGTGGCAGCAAGCCAAGGACAGGGTCCATCAGGGCCCTGACACTGCACGGCTCTGAAGGCTGCTGTGGGGCTTAGGCCTGGGGTCCAGGCTCTGGTGGTTCAAGGCTGCCTGGGAATTACTGTGTTTCCCTCAGAGGTGAGGCTGGATGAGGCTGGATGACACAAGCACCGGCCTGCGTCTCTGAGACTGGGCCACCATGGTTGCTTCTCCTTCTCATGGTCCCCTCTTCCGGGAACCCCAGCTGTGCAGAATGCAGAGTGAGGCCAGAGGGCTCCAGACAGCCCCTGGTGCACAAGCTAGACAGCAGACTCTGAGCCCCACCTACCCTGGGCGGCCACTTCCCCAAAGCCAGAATGCCTTGAGCAAGCCCCTCCTGAATGTGCCCCCACAGACACTGTGCCCCCAAGGGTTTGCTGTTGGAAGCTAAGTTCAGGGAAGAAGGCAGGCACGTGGCCACACAGCCCTCACCCCTTAGGCACCCCACATGAGCCAGGCCCTGGGCTCAAGGCTGCAGAGAAAAAGGAGACCTGACTGGAATGAGGCATCGCTTAGAGATTCCCAAGTCCCAACCTGAATGCTGTCCTCAGAGCCCCAGAGAGACGCAACTGCGAGCTGCATCTGCAGAATGGAGAGCGGAGACATGGGGAGCTGGAGGCCCAGTGCCCTTCGATGATAAGAGTCCACAGGTCCCTGACACCACTGCCGGACCCATGAACTGCTTTGGCACAAATAAACTCTACAATTCCAGTGTGCCTCAGGAATCTTTTAAGAGCATGGACTGTGGATATAGCAATAATGTGTGGATTAACCCTGCTGGGTTTCAGGGGAAAATGTCCCACCATAAATAAAAAGATTCAGAAGAAGGGTTCTCTGCCTCTTTGTACTGCTTTGAATGTAACTGTATGGCGATATGATGCCTGGAGCCGTGGCAGCCATCTTGTGACCATGAGGGTCTAGGATCTGTCTAACTGGCCCCCAAAGCACCCTCTAAATTATTCTTATCTTACTAGGGAAACGGTAAACTAACTCAAGACTCCAATTACTGTTCCTCAGGTTCTCCGACCTTCCAGCCAAATGCAGGAAGAGGTTACTAATGCAGGGCACTGCTAAGCACCCCCAGTGGAGTCCTCTCCTTTGGGTAACTGAAACATAATGCCTTAGTTACAAATCCCCATTTAAGAACAAATAGGAATTCTTCACCTAATTATGTAGATTTACTTCCTCATGCTCAACTGGTTTTTCCAGGTAAACAAAAATGAACTGCTTCCCTTATTTCTCAGGGGAAATGCCAGCTAAACACCACATTCTCCAGTTTTTCATGCTGCCCACAGAGGTCACAACTCCATTCTGGCTACCAGATAGTGAGCAAAGCACTGGACTACACTTCCCAGCCTCACCTGCAGCAGGTAAAGCCATGTGACTAATCCCCAGCCAATAGGATATGCCCAGAAATGAGGAACTACATTTCCCAGTTTTCCCTGCAGCAGATAAAGCCATGTTGACTAACTTGTAGCCAATAAGATATGCCCAGAAGTGTAGAACTACCCTTCCCAGCTTGCCCTGCAGCCATTAGAGACCGTGTAACTCAGTCTTGCGCAATGAGGCTGGAACAGAAGTTATGAGAGGCTGGAGACTAAATTCTGGCCATTAGGAACGGGAACAGAAAAGACTGGGTTCCATTCTGGGGCCACCCCCTGGGCACACCCCTGCAGGCTCTAGCAGGAGAGAGGACTGGATCCTCCCTTTGCTGGAGCCATTGCATCGGGTCTCAGCTAGGCAGCAGAACCAGCACAGTGGGCAGAGGGGAGGGCATAGGGCAGGGAGATGGGGCCATTACACTGCGGCTGCCCCGAGCTGCAGGGCCCTGCTCCCTCTTGTCAGAGCTCTTGCTTGGTCTGCCGGGGAGACTTCTTGGGAGGTCAGGGGCCAACAGCCCAGGCCTCAGAGGGGCCCAGAGGGCAGGAGGAAGCTGTAGGTAGGACCGGATTTGGGTTCCACAGTGCAGGATGATGGCCATTGGGACAGCACCAGGTGTCCCCTTCGCCCCAGTCTGAACCTCTCACTTGCTTCACACAGGCTGCAGGTACCCAGCCTCAGGCCAGCTCAGGACAGGGACGCGACAGGGACAGGGCTGCTCTTCCGGAATTCAGGGAAGCTTCCTGCTAGGAGGGAACAAAAGTTCCTGTACAAGAACAACTGTCCACAACCTGCCTCTAACCACAGAATGACCAGCCGGGAAGGGGGTCACCTCTGGCTAGAAATGCCGCTGGGCGTCCCTGTGACTACAGGATCGCGGTGGGGGGAGGGAGAGATGGACAGCTCAGGACCCCAGTGCAGAGGCCCTGAGTGCTGGGGCAGCCAAGCTGGCAGCATCCACAGGTGAGCCAGGGACAGAGGAAGGACTGGGGCAGCAAGGTGGCCAGTGCACCAGAGTCTCCCCCGTCCTGGGTGCCCTGAGCCAGTAGGACCCAAGCAGACCTGGGCTCTAATCCTTGTGTCTCTGGGCCTCAGTTTCCTCTGCTGTAAAGTGTGGCTGCTGAGGGCACCACCCACTAGCAGCACTCACAGGCGACAGCAGGACAGGCCTGGGCTGGCCACTGGGAGGGGCTGAGAGGCACAGATCTGTCCTCTACAGAGCGGGGTACAGTGGTATACACTTACAATCCCTGCACTAGGGAGGCTGAGTCAGGAGGGTCACTGGGAGTCCAGCCTGGGCTACCCAGTCAATTCAAGGCCAGGCTGGGCTACACAGCAGGAGCCTGTCTCAGGAAACAGATGTTTCCTCCTGTACACATCTCTAAGGTCCCCCACCACAGGGGCTGCCCTGAGGACTGATATAATGGTTTGCTTTGTCCCTACAGCAAGGTGAAAGAGACCCTAGTGTCTGTCCTCTGAGGGCCCTGTGAGCTCAGATGGTTTTAGAAATGAAGGCTCAGGGCTGGAGATTTAGCTCTGTGGCACAAGCAAGAGGTTGTGAGTTTGATCCCCGGTACCCCCCACCACCAAAAAAGAAAAGAAAAGAAATGAGGTCTCAGAGCTCACTCATGGTAGGGACCCCCGCATTTGCCTGGGCTTCTGGCTGTCACGCTGCAGGCCCCTATGTGGCAGCAGGTGGGCCCCTGTGAGCATCCCAGGCTGGGAGCCCCTGCCTAGCCCAATTGCCACGCCTGGGCACACACAAGTGAGTCACCTGGGGACCTTGTAGAATGCGGTGCAGGGCAGCAATGGGAACTGTGGGGACCAGAGTGGGGTCCCTAGAACCATATCCTCGGCAGTGTGGGTGCTGCCGCGGAGACAGTGGGACAGGACTGGAGTTGACTTCTTTTTCAGCTGTTTCTGGCCCCTGTCATTTGGGCCACAGGCCCAGCCCCAGAGCATAGGGGATGAGCCTGGTGCTGCCAGCAGAAGCCATGCACACACAGGGGCTGTGTCTACACCAGCTTCCAGCTGGCGTGGGGAGCCCAGGATGTCTGAAGCCCAGACTTAGGCTGAAGGGCAGGAAGATTCCAGGGCAACAGGAGGGGATAGTGGCTGGCACAGGTCTGGACATGAGTCCTGCCCTCCTATCGGCCCTCGAGAGTCACTTTGTTTCTTTGGCCTCAGTTTCCACAGCTGTAGAATGGGACCGAGTGTCACCAGGCCTCCTCCTTAGCCTGCCACGGCACCTGGGTGACAGGAAGCCACGTGACATTTCTGAGGATTCACAGGGACCAGCACATCCTACTGAAAGTGCTTTATTTGAGGTGTCTAACCCTTGCAACAGCCTTGTGAGGTAGGAACCAGGAAATAGGCCTGGGAAGGGCCACAGGGACCGACACTCCTAACCCTCCACTCCGCTCCCTCAGCCAGGCAAGCTCAGCCTGTGAGCCCGTCCCCACCTGCCAGGGCCCCATAAGACACAGACAGAGCCCAGAACTTGGGGGCTGGAGTCCCCCTCTCCCTGCTGCAGATCCCGGGTGTTGGGCAGGGCCAAACCTGTGAGCTGCAGGATCTGGTCATCGAGGTGGGTCACAGCCTCATCATGCATCACCTGGCCTCCGAGGACAAACTCCAGGCGGCCCTGGGCCAGGAGCTGATGGACCTTAGTGTGGGGGGCAGACAGAAGGCGGCCAGGTCACATGGTCGGGCCAGGCCGAGGCTGGGGCCGGGGACCGGGCCTGCAGTGCCCCCACTGACCTCCGCACCAGCTGATTCCACAAATTTGGGCAACCTGTCCACAGGGGCCAACGCCCCGAAGGCGCCTGGCCCATGGCGGTGTCTGAGATAACTGCAGTTTTTATTCTGGAACGATTTCAGACCCGGCAAAAGCTGCAGGAGTGACCCACACAGCTAAGGGGCCTCGTCCCTGCCCTGGATGCACACAGGAGCTTTGTCTCCTCCTCCCTGTGGACCCCAGCTCTGCACACCCAGGGTGCTGTTCCTAAGCCAGACAAAGGAAGCTGGCTGCAGCCCACCAGGCCCGACCCCCGGGCTGCTGCAGGAGGTTCCCCTCCCTGATGGGACCCGGCACATGGTGCCACCACTGCCACCTTAGCTCTGCCGCCTGTAGAAGTTGCTGGGCCTCCACACACGCGAGGGGCCCGGCTCCTGAGATTTGCACAGTGCCATGTTTATGGGGCTTGGAACCCGGGAGGCGTCTCAGAGAAGGGGACTCCCTACCCTGCTCACAGCCACCCACGGTGACAGACAGGACCCAGTGCCAGGCACCAGGTACTCCACCCTGCTCAATCCTTGCCGAGGGCTACAGGGTCTGGTGCAGGGAGGGGACAGGGCGTGAGGCAGGCCGGCCAGGGAGGGACACTAGCCCTGCCCCGGCACTGTGAGCCTGGGCTGCCCAGGGCCCTGGCAAGCCATGTCCCCGGCACTGCGTACCTGTGCTTTCTGCTGCCCAGAGGCCACCTGGTCCCACCACAGCCGGAAGAACTCCTGCTCCACAGCGATGAACCGCCGCCGCTGCCCCTGCGCCAGCTCCGCCACCACGGACGTGTAGACGTTGGCTGCGTAGGCCCGCATGCTCTCCTGGGGGTCACACCAAGGCCGGGGGCGTCAGCTCAGGATCCCCAAGCTCTGCAGGCCCCAGAGGCGGCTGTGAAGGGCTGGTCCCCTACATCCCACAACCTGTCCACGAGACTCCCAGCACGTGCTTCGGGGGCCTTGGCGTCCTGGGTGTCCCTGAGGGGCTGCAGTTGGCCCCGGACCCACCCCACCCCCAGGCACGGGGCTGCCCCACTGCCAGCAGAGAGCACGCACGGAGGATGGGGTGGAAAGGGCAGGAGCCCAGGCTGGACCTCGGTGGCCGCAGCAAGGGTGCAACCTCTTTGGGCCTTGGTCTCGTCTTCCGGGAGCCAGGAGCTCTGGGCAGAGCACACCCCCTTAGTCTTCAGGGGGCTCCACTGCACCTGGGGGCTCTCCACAGCCCGCCAGGGCACCCAGGACCGAGTTGACACTCAGCACCAAGGCTGGGAGTAGGGATGCACACCTGCCACCCCAGCACTGGGGAGGCTGAGGCAGGACTACTGTGTGTTCAAGGCCAGCCTGGACTACCGAGGAAAACCAAGTCTCAGAAATGAAAGACAAAAAATTAAAGAGACGCCACTGCTCACTGATGGGTGTTTTTTGTGAAGTGATTCTGTCCATCGTAAACAGGAAGAGCTTTATGGATTTTCTTAGGGATGTCTTGTCTCACCCAAAAAATACGCACACAGAGGCCTGGGGAAAGACATCCAGTGTCCCTCATTCATTCATTCATTCAATCAGTGGGTGCAGATGGAGCCCCAGGGAAAACACGGGATCAGGAAGCCAGCAGGTAAAACTCGTGGGCTGTTGGAGGGTGACAAGTGCTACAGAGGGCCATAAGGGAGGGGTCTGTGGGAAGGGCCACACTGGCACAGACTGGGTGAGTTAGACTGGGGCGGCAGGTCTTGTGCAAAAGGCCCTGGGGCAGGAGACCAGGGACGCTTCAGGGCTATGGCAGCAGGGAGACTGCGCTCCTCAGAGCTCAGGGGTTCCCCTGGGAAACCCCTACTGGTGTGGGTCACAGGCTTGATGGCCGAGACGCTGCCCCCAACCCCAGCTCGGCTCCTTCTGGGCCCCAGCAGCCTGGGCTGAGTCCCAGGTCGACCACTTAAGGACCACGCAGGCGCCCTGGGAGTTGGGCAGGGATTCCTGACTGAGAACTGAGGCTCGGGGACCAGAGCCCCTGGCTTAAGGCCCCGCGCAGAATCATGAGGTGACCACAGGCCCACACCAAACCTGTTTTTGGGAGGGGGAGGCGGGGACCCACCCGTCAGCCGGTTGCAGCTTTGAACTGGGTTCCCCTGTCCACCCCACAGGGGCCCTCAGCCCCGCCCACCCTCCCATGCAAGACCCCACCCAACCAGCGCGCCGCCCCGCGGAGGTAAACTAAGTCTCGGAGGCAGGGAGGGACCCCAGCGCGGAGTCCGCCACTCGCCGGCCCGCCACTGGGGGGAGCCCGGACCCACCTGCACGGTGTACACCCAGCCCACGTCCATGTGGCTGTGCGGCACCACGAAGGCCCGGATGGGGCCCGCGGCCCGGGACCCCCGCAGCAGCAGGGCCCCGAGGAGCAGCGGCAGCCAGCGCAGGGGCGCCATGCGCGCGGCGACTTCCGGCTGCGGCCCCGCCCCGGCTCTGTGACCCCGCCGCGGCCCGCGGAGTCCGCCCTCCGCTCCTCAGGCGCCGGGTGCTGCCGCTGCGTCGGCCTCGGCCGTGCTTCCCGGCGGGCGGTGGCCGGGCACCGAGTCCCCGCGAGCGAGGCCTGTACTGCGAACACTGCCCGTGAAATAAAAGCGAGCAAGAAAAATCGGGGACCTGGGCACGAGATGGTGCGGGCGGGCGCCTCAGTGTCCGCCCCCCGACCGAGGACAGCAGGGAGCGGGACGGGAGTGTGAAACTCCCCCGGGGAGGCAGCCGGGGGCCACGGTGCCTGCAGCCACGGGGTCCAGCCTCGAGGGACAGGCCCGGGCAGACCACGTGCACCGGGCGGATCCATCCCTGTGCCCGTCGCTAGCCAGGCTCAGGGCTGGACTACACTTCCCAGCCGCCTCTGCGTGACCATGGCCACGGGGCCAATAGAGTGTGTGCAGGGTTGGTGCTGCCCAGGCGCCGCCCCTCTGCCACTCCTGCTGCTTTGGGAGTAGGCTTCCACGGAGCCCTGTGGGACGACTCTGTAGCGGAGAGAAATGAGCTTGCTTTCTTTATTTTGTGTTGAGACAGGGTCTTGCTGCATAGCCCAGGCTGGCTTTGAATTCACTATGTAGTCCAGGCCAGGCTGGCCTCAAATTTGTAGAGATCCTCCTGCCTCAGCCTCCTGAGTGCTGGGATTACAGAGATGCCTGGCAAGAAATCAACTTTATTTTGTTGAGGCAGTGGATTGATCCGGGAGAGTGCATCACAGACCACAGCCTGACCCGTTCCACTAGCTCCTCTCACAGGGTAACTCAGAAACCTCGGCAAACTTCTAACTTTGCTTGCTCCGAGGTAACTTTGCCATACTGTCCACTTACTGTCCCAATCAGACCAGGGAGTGGCCAGAGTCGCTGAGGGGAGCTGGCCTCATCATCTGTGCCACCACAGAGGGTCCAGGCCACCCTGTGCCCGCTGCTCTTGATGTGAGTAGCCCACTTGCCCGGGGTGGCAGCGGCCTTCACTGATGGCAGCTTCCTCCCTCTGAAGAAGCCCCGCCTGCCCTGCGGGGAGGGAGGTCGAGACCTGACTCCTCCTCCAATCCTTTGGTCCTGTGACCTTGGCTTGACCCCTGGTGTCTCTGGTTGGGGCCTAGCCTTAACAGCTTTCAGGCAGTGCGTGGTGTGGCCCAGGCCTGCACTGTACCTCCGTCACCTTGGCCTAGTGACGCTGGGCCCCACCCAACGGCTCTTACTCTGGAGGAAGCCGTGGGGACCTTGGAGCCGCCGTGGTGGGGCCCCAGCAGTCCCAGTGGCATCCGGGCTGCAGCCTGGTGGAAGACCTGGGGCCAGGTCCCAGGCTCCTGGATTGGCCACCTTGCCCGCTGGGGTGACGGTGCATTCGCACTCAGGGCAGCCAAGTGGGAAGCAGTGCTGCTTTGCAGGTGGGGTGAGGAGCTCCCCCTGCTTGAGTGGCCCCCATGCCAGCTGTCCCCTTCTCTTTGCCCAGGGGACCTGCTGCCATCCTGACCTGGACCACATGGTAGCAGTTATGCAGCCCTGTGACACTGAGGCCTGTGTCTCACTTATGTCACAGCCTGTGGCCTCCAGGTGCATCCGTTTCCCTACACGTGACTCGGGGTCACCCCCTTCATGGCAGAGCAGTGCCGCACAGCGTGTGAGCACCACCCCCTCAGTCCCTGCTCCTCTGCCGATGGCCACACCTGCCGCTTCCCAGATCTGGCTGTCAAGATGTCCCTGGTTCTTCCAGAGAGCCGCTTCTTACCCAGGGCTGTGAGCCTAGAACTGAAGTGACCCCCGGGTCCTGGAAAGCCTGGCTGTCCTGGTGGTCCTGGAGCCCCTGGAGGAGGCAGAGCAGCGGTTCTGGGAGGTGCCCAGAGGAGAAGGTGCAGTGCCTGTGAGGAAGGACATGGGGACACGGTTCCTGAAGGGCAGGGGGCAGCCTGGCAGCTCTTGGGGAAACTGGCGTGAGAGGGGTCAGCTGGGTGGGCGCGTAAGTAGCAAGGGGTAAATGACCGATGTGCACTCTGGGAAGGTGGGGTGTGGGGGACACCTGGAGAGAACAATTCTCTCCATCCTGGCTAAACCTGGCCCCATCTCCATGTACTGCTGGGAGCTGGCCAGGACTTCTGATCCCCTCAGTACAAGTTAGTCTGGCCAGGTGCTAGTGTGGAGTCTTTGAAGCAAGGGACAGGGCAGTTTCCCCACCCGTGACTCTGCAAAAGCCTGTGTGAGCCAGGTGGGAGGGAGAACCAAGCTCCAAGCTGTGGGCTGGACAGAGTCTCAAAAGAAGAGGCTGTGACTCCCCAGGGCAGAAGGGGTCACACACCAGCCTGAAGCATGGGCCCCAGTACTGTCTGGAGCTGTGCTGTGCAGACTGGTCTCTGGTGGCCTCTCTGCATCTTGCAGAAGTGATCTCCGTCACTCTCACGGTCACTCATCCCCAAGCCACTGCCCTCTTCATAAATGAATAAAATCTGGGTTCTGCCCTGGGTTGAATCCTTTGTTCCAGGCCTTCACCCCAGCTGGACTTAGGACCCCTCGGCTCCCCACAACCGTAGATACACCTCAGTGCCTTTGTTCTCGCTGTGGGCCGCACTGGAGGTGGCCGGCTGGCAGTAATGGCCCTTCGGCCCTTTGGGATTATGAATGGAAACTTCCTGGACCTTGAGGAGGACTGGAAAGGGCTCTCTGTGGGGGAGGAGCCTCATTTTGCCAGTAGGGGACAGTGGGGGCGCAGGAGCTGAGTGATCCCCCCCCACTCGGTCACCCAGGCCTTGCCTGCCCTTTCTGCTGCAACACCAGCTGCATCTTGTGCTATGGTGACAAGATACACTTGCGCTATGGTGACAAGCAGCCTCTATGGTGACAAGATACAACAGCCTCGTGGCCTCCTGCCCCCTGGGTGCGGGAGACTGGTTTTGTCCCTCTTTAAAGGCTCCTCTGCAGTATCACCTGGCCGGTCCCTCCTGCTTGTCCACTTGGAGCCCAAAGGTTGGGCACAAGGTCACAGCTGCACTTTTGGGAACTCGGTGCTGCCCCAGTAGACCAGGTGATGTGGGTGTCACCTGAAGCCACAGGGTATAACTTCTAGGCATTCCTGCAGCTGTGGGGGTTCTCATTATGATTCTAATTTGCATTTCTCTCATGGCTAAAATTGTTGAACATCTTTTGATGGGCTTATGTGGGACTATTTTTTTTTTTTTTTTGGTTTTTTGAGACAAGGTCTCACTACCTCATTCAGGCTGGCCTCAAACTCACAGAGACCCTCCTGCCTCAGCCTCCTCCCAAGTGCTAGGGTTATTCGTAGGTGCCACCACACCTGCCCCTGAGATGTTTAAGCGTCAATTGTAGATTTTACGTGTCAGTCTGTGGACTACCTGGAAAGCTGCTCCTATGAGGTGTGAGGTTTACGTCCAGGTTTGGGTTCCTCTGTGTTGGCAAAGCGCTACTGCTGGGTTCCGCACTGTGGGTTGGAAAGGGGAACTTTCTACCCCAGCCATGAGCCTGAGCAGAGCCAGGTCTTCTGTAACCTGGCGTCCGCAGGGCAGGGGTCTCCCAGGGCTCTGCCATGGACACCAGCACCTACTGGCTGCACTGACTGGGCCTGGCCGACCTTTCCTTGTGCACCTTCTTCCTGCAGTGTCACTGAGGCACCAGGAGTGTGGGGACTCGTGCAGGCAGGTGCCAGGAGCTGGTGCTGCTCAGGGGGCTCAGGGGTGTGCAGAGGCTCTGGGTCTAGAGAGGACCCAGAGGGTGATTTTCCTTCAAAACCTCCAGATTCACTAAGCATGGTGGTGCACGCCTGTAGTCTCAGCACTCGGGAGGCTGAGACAGGAGGGTCATTGCAAGTTCGGGACCAGTGAGCTCAAGGCCAACCTAAGCTGCATTGTGAGACCCTGTGTCAAAAAGACAAAAACAAAATAAAACAAAAAACCCTCCAGGGAGGAGAGCAAGGTGAGAGGAGAGAACAGGGAGGTGAAGTGAGCCTGGCACTGTCCACCATCCTCAGAGCTGGGGACGCAGAGACTCGGGTCCGGCCAGTCGGAGCGTTTCAGGGGTAGGTGCCCCCTCGGGGAAGACCAGTTGTCCCTCCGCATCTTCCCCAGGTTGGAGGTTGATCCCCACCCTTTGCATGGGGGCTTGAACCCCGCCTCACCTCCTGCCCTCTCTCATTACGGCCACCAGAGGGCGCCGGGGTCCAAGCGGCCGCTGTTCGTGGTGCTGAATTCTGAGTCCAGATGGAGCGTCTGGGCCTTAGGCAGGTGGCGGGAATTTAACCACCGCGCCGGGCTCTCATTGTGACTCAGGTCTGCCTCTGGGTCCGCCCTGACACCCGCCGGTCAAGTCCCTGTGTCCCGAACCTCTAGCGTGCTTTCCTGGAGCAGGGAGGATTCGACATCCGGTCCAGCCATGCCTCAGCTGCCACCACCAGGTGACCCTGAGCGACCTACAGCCACTGTTGACCTTGACCTCCCCTTGGCCATAGGCTGACCTTGAGAAGTTGGATGGTTCCACTGAACTCTCAAAGCCGGGTGTGGTGGCGCATGTCTGTGATCCCAGCACTTGGGAGGCTGAGGCAGGAGGATTGCCACAGGCCCTGCATCCTGGTCCCTCTGTTTCTTGCGCTTCTGGGTGGGATGATAGGACCAGCGCTGGGCCTCTGCATCCAGTGGCTCTGCCACCCCTCAGTACAGCCTGTCAGAGCTGTCTGGGCTTTGCTCCGAGGTCTCCAATGAACCCCCGTGTCAGAGGGCAGGTGGCAGACGAGGCTTATCGTGCCCAATTTACAGTGAAAGACACTGAGGCCCTGAGAGTGAAACGCCAGGCAAGCTGCCCCTCGGAGTGCATGGAGACCTGGGCTCTCCGTGGGCGTCTGCCTGCGTGGGAGCTGGTGCTGCGCAGCCCGCCCCCTTCCGGGAGCCCAGCTCTGCACCTGGTGCCTGTGTGCAAGGCGCCTGGCTGTCTCTGCCCTCAGACTTGGGGCCATTGGTTTCCTGGAGCAGCCCGGGCTGTGCATTGCAGAATTTGATTTTATTCACATCTGCACCCCCCGTTGAGCACCTGGGAATGACAGCGAACTGCTTTACTGATTTTGAGCCGCGCTGCCAGTGGGGCCTCAGTATCATGTTGTTAGCGGGCGTCTGTGGGAGCACCGGTGAGCGGATGGGGATTTCCTGAGGTTGGTTATGAGCGGATTCTTTCAAAATGTGACCTCTCTCAGCCGGGTGCCATCTGTGGTCTCCGCACAGGCTTGGCGGAGCCTGGGCACCCCCTCTGCTTCCATCCTGCCCACTCTTACCCTGGCCTGGCCAAGATGGCAGGTGAGATGCCAGG